CCGTATGGGCTAGGCCCACTGAGCTCCAAAGTTAGATGTAAGGTTCCCTCTGAGCAACCAATCTAACAGAACCCAGAGAGAGGTGCCCCAGGAATTCAAGGATTCAAAAATCACGTTCAATTTCTACACCTACCTGTTCTTCAAATAATGCCCAGAGAAGTTTGCAAAAATCCCTTTCAAGGAACTGAGGCATTCTGGCTTCCCTTCTCCTCAAACAGCCCAACACAGGAGCAACCCATTTGGCTCTGGGAATGAATACTGCTTTTTCTAGGTGAAGAACAGGAATGAAAGCAAGAAGCCAAGCTTAGCCTCCCCTGCCTTTCTGTACCCTCGAACCAAGTGACAGCCACATATCAAACTGATCTCCTAGAAAGTGAAAAAGGAAGACACACTACCCAAGAGACAAGTGCTGAGGTTACAAGGTATACGATCCTTGCAGTGGAGGACCCAGGAAAACTCCTACTCACCCAACAAAAGGTTTTCTACTAAACTACAGGAGGGGCCCATTTTATAGCAAATTCTTTACATCTAGCATACAATTCGGTACTCTGGCTTCTGCAAAAGCCCATACACTGGGCACCCACCCAATTCCCCCATTCCAATCATACCCAGAGAGCTTGCTCCCCAGTTCCCACCCTCCCATCCCCTTCCCTCACTCCCTCAATGCCCCCAGGGCTGTGCCATTCCATTTCAAACTGCATTTTGTTTTTCCACTAAAGAATATAACAATTGGAAAAATATTATATATATATATGTATATATATATATATGTATATATATATATATATATATATATAATTTTATATTTATATTCATACTAAACACCAGATTCCACTGGTTCTAAGAACCTGAAGCATTGCAAAGCCAGAGTCTCTTTTCTCCTGGCACTGCTGATAGTACCACCTGGATCCATGCCCGGGGCCTCTCAGTCTCTCATTGGTTATTTAAGCAGAGATGCCATAATATAAGACAGGTATCATTGTGGGTCGCCTGCTAGCTTTCTGGCTGTTCCTGATCTCATCATCTCTAACATTCTCATGGTTGAGCTGGACACCTTTAAGAAGACTAGAGGCCTGGCCAGAGCATTGTAGGGAATCACTCACAGAGCATCCCCTCCTGTCGGCTCTTTCCCATGGTGCCCTCCCCTGGTGTCATCCACCATGCGATTGGGTAGGGAGAACCAGGGTCACAATTCCCCCACACACACACACCCCCACACATCACAAGAAATCACATGGGAGCTGAAATAAGACCCCATGGCTTCCCCCTTCTCTCATTTCTCTCTACTCTCTTTGCAAGCATCCGAGAGGCTTTTCCTTTTGTTCAGTTTTCCTTTTTTGTATTTCTGACAGACCCGAGCAACTGGGAAAAGAAAGGGAGGAGGATAGGAAGGAAGGGGCAAGGAAAAGAAGAGAGGTGGCATTAGGAAGTGAGCAAGGATCCCAGACTACCTGGGCTAGGTGGTTGTGTCTGAAGCATCTCAAAGCACAGGTACAAAAATAAAGAGAACTATGACTTCATATATAGATAGATAGATATAGAGATAATATATAGTCTTTATATAGGTTTCATATATATATTATATTTTTGTACATATAATATATATATGAATGCAGAGGTGGAGGACTCTGAATGCAGCTCAAGAAAAACTTTTCTCCCACTCCTCTTGTCCTGCTCTAATCTCATGCCCTCCCACACTCTACCCCTCCCAAATGTAGCATTTGCTGGCAGCTGACTAGTTACTGCTGTGGAATTTTCTCATTGTGCCTTATCCCACCCACCCCACCTTTACATAAGTTCCCCTCTCTCTTTAAAATAGAACAAATTATATATTTATATAATTTTATGTACAATCTTCATAAAAATACATTGAAGATGGAAGATTTCCTCTGTAATCCTCCTGCCAAAACAAAAATTGTCTGTCTGGGAGTCAACAGGAAGGGAGGGTATCTTATGCCTGATATTTCTCAGGAAAAATGGGAATGGGGAACTGGGAGCTTGGCTCCCCTTAGGGCAGATTCAAAATCTTGCCTCTCATATCTCCATGTTTATTCTCTCTCTCTCTCTCTCTCTCTCTCTCTCTCTCTCTCTCTCTCTCTCTCTCTCTCTCTCTCTTTCTCTCTCTCTCACACACACACACACACACACACACACACATATTCACACATAAGTAGACCCTTCCTGAAACCGGAAAAGAACCACATAAAGCAGATCTCAGGCAGAGAGATCCAGGACATCATTCTGCTCCCAAACCCCAAAGAGAAAAGGCAGCCCCTGAATGTCTACAAAGGTGGATGGAGGTTGTGTAGCCCCTGGGGAAAAGGAAGAGATTTTTTTTACATTGGGACCATCTCACCTCCCCACACGCAGTTAGTACCCAGTCTATCTAATGATAGACCTCCCCAAATGACTTGCATGGTGTAGGTTCAATAAATATTTGTTGATTAGCAATTTACTCACCCAGGATTGCCAGGTGGCTGGCCCATAGAGAGGTTTATTTCTAGTGGAAATGAACTCTCACAAGTACCCTAAGGTAAAAAGAAGCTAAAGCCCCGAGCCATCATCCCAGATATGAAAGTGTAGGGAAGCATTTGCCCCTTCCACTTACTTATGTGAAAACATCACCAGAAAGCATGCTTGCAACATCTCTAAGGCTGAATAATTCAAATGTCCCAACCCCAAACCAACCCACTGACCCTCCCTGATTGCCCTTCCCCACCCCCACACCACCTAAGCCATGCACAAGTTCAGAACCCCTGGAGCCAAGAAAAAATAGGGGATGGAGAAGAAGAGAGAAGGCTGTGGAGGGGGTGGGGGTTGCCTCTTTCCTGAACCAAATCCAGGACAACCAGGAATACTAGGAGGGAGGGGAAGAGGGGTGTGCCTCAAAGAACAGGAAGCTCAACAGGTCCCACTAAAACTCAAATAATCACTAGGGACCATGAGGTAGACATAAGTTGAAGAGCGAAGGAGATGGAAACTGAGATAACACCACCCCTTTATTTCATTTCCTCTCCCTTTCCCTGACAGATGGCTCAAAGCAGGGAACTACTCCCCCTAACCCTATTCAGAACCCTGGCTTACTATGGGTCCATACAAGAAAACAATGACAAACATTAAACAAAATGGATTTCAACTCACTTCCTATTAATGGTCTGCACAGTGATCTGAAATGCCTATTGCACTGACTCTGCTGTCTATGAAGCATGATAAACCACTAATGTTATTTTCAGTATGTAGCAATTTCTCCTCCCCCTAGAGAAAGCCTTCTCATAAAACCCCTGGGAAATGAAGGGGGTACTTTTCAAACCAGTCACTAGTTTACACTAAAAATTACATCCATCAGCTCCAAATGGGGTTCACTGCCATAATCCCACTCCTCCATAATCCAACACCCAGGCCATCTGAAGATTTGTTAAAATCCCTTTGTAAGTATCAAAGTTGGGGTTCAGTAGCAGGGGGCTGGTTTAGCTGAGTAAAGGAATGGCCACGTGGATCTGAGACAATGAGGAAGAGAGATTGTAAAACTTGAACCTGGACCTCACCTTTATTTCTGGATTTCTTCCTAAGCAGAAAAGCTCATAATTCTACCTCAAGACTGTGGAGGAGGCAGAATTGGAAGACAGGGGAGAAAGGAGGGTCTGTCATTGGGCTAGAATCTGTCTTAAGGCCACTTTCAGTCCACCCTGCCTTGCTACACAGAGGCAGTGACTATCAGTGACTGTCCAGAAGGGGCAAGGTGAAGGCAGAAGCCCCAGGCTCAAGGTCAAGGAGGGATTTCTTGGCCTGAAGCAAGGTACCTGCTCCTTAAGAGAGAAGAATAGTGTTTATGAGATAGGAAGATCTGCCCCATCTCCCTTCCCCAGACTTCTCTGACACCTCACAAATACCCTAGGATGTTCGCTGGCCAACAGGACAATAAGAAAAGACTGTCTGGACATTTCTCCTTCTAAAAAAATGGTCACAGGGAGTTTATCACCCACCAGTGAATGGCTGGTGATAGAAAGAGGAAAGAACAGTCTTTCAGATCAAAACTTAAGTAGCCCCAGAAGAGAATATGGATAAAGTTAGTCTGTACCCCAAAAGGAATCTCCAAGGAGAAATCTCTGGCTTGAACACTTTGCATTGGAGCTTACTCTCATAGTAATAGGTCTCAAAATAAATAAGAAAAACCTCAATTGCCAAAAATCCAAGCTGTTCCTCAATTTTCCTTCAACCACAATCTCATCCTTCTATCATGTTCCTTGGTTCCAAAAACCAGTTCACCTATTATCCAGGATGATTACTCCTAACCCTTTTGCATTTCCCTAGATGGTCAAAGTTCTGGGACACTAAACTCTAGCTCCTTTTAGGAGGACTGGTAGGGCATCTAAAAATGTCTGAAGTAGAATGACAGTCCCTTGTCCCCTCCACCTTCTGCCTCATCCTCTGATCCCAGCCTCTTTTCCACATCTCAAGATATCCTCTACCCGACACTCCATAGCTTTCTATGTTCCAATGTATTCTTTGCAACTAAATTTTATTCCCTCCCTATATCCCAGTTCCTAATGCCACTTGGGTCCCTCCATCTAGGATAGGCCATTAGAAACATTCTGGACCCCCTTCCCAAGGGTCACTTAGCAACATGGCTCCAGTTCTCAACGCAATACCATTTCTCGTTTTCTACAGAAATACAATGTCTAAGCTGGGCCTAGGAATGCTGATTGGTGGAAGCCCTTACCTCCAGATGGAATTATGAGAAGTTGTCTTAAAAGGGATCTTTCTAGCTCCTTCCAACTCCTCAACCATCTCCCTTCCCGTTCCTTAGCTTCTAACTAGCTCTCCCTGGAACTCCCCCAAAGTTCCTTTACATGCAAATAGATCAAGCCATGACAAATTGCTAGCTTTTCTTCTCCTGTTTCTCTACAGGTTTATTGAACATCTTATATACAGTTCCTCTCCCACCCCTACCCACCCCACCCCACCCCACCCCACCCTAAAAAAGTTCTTCCTAAAAAGACCAGAAGGAATTTGCCCCCAACCAGGACAACAAACCTCAGCCCCAGGTTTGAATCCTGGAAGGTGTCAAGAAGCCTAAATTGCTGCCCCCTACATTCATTCCTTCCTTTTGAGAAGCCACTGTTTTGAACACATGTACCAGTACCAAAAACCTGAAACCCCCTACCCTCTTTCCCCTAGAAACGAAGAGAGTTAAGAGATAGCACAGAAACTAACTCCATGTCAGAGGATACCAAATTGAAAATGTCAACATAGGATAGAGGATAGGGAAACACCCAAAATCCCCACCAGCCTTCTCATAGTAAAGCTGTCCTATCCTTCCCAGACCATACCTATGGGACCATTCTCTCCTCAATGGAAGGGGGCACTAACCCAGTTAATTTACTGGAATCAAGGCACTCCTCAGTTATGGAAATGGTATCTCAGTACTCACAGCCCTACCTATGAGGCCAATGTTCTAGCACCCATATGGGGCATAGAGCCATGTTTCCTTGCCACAGGACCCCAAGGCCTTATGACCACAAATCCAACCTCATCTGGTAATCAATAAATGAGGATCAAGGCTGGGATGATACTGGGTTTTGCCACCTCCTCTTCAATTGCTATTTCCTATCCCTAAACATAAGGGGGTTCAGACCTACTCTCCTATGCTTACTGCTTTAGGATCTCTTGGGATCCATTTTATTCTTTCCCCAGCTTCAATCCCCTTCAACAATCAAAGTGAGACAGTGGAAGTTAGCGGTATTATAAAGAAAAAGAAAGAAGAAAGATCAACGTTTGGGACTCAGGGAGGACTCCCCCCGCAAAGCAGCCTCTACCCTGAAAAGCAATCAATCAGACCCCACAGGATGGCAGCCAGGGGTTTGGTATCTCAAGTAGAGTAGGATTTTGGATAAAGGAGAGTAGGATTTTGGATATACTGGGAATTCTAGTGCTACTTTAATTGTTCAGGGACAAAGAAAAGGACATGAAGGGAGGTTTGGAGATAGACATGCTTATACATGGACACACACACACACACACACACACACACACACACATACACATACTCCAACTAAAAATGTCAGCAAAATCTCCGCTTTGCATCATATCAGGCAAAAGCATCCTTGCCTAGCCACCCCAGTTCAGCCTCTTGAAGGAAGACCCAAAGTTGCCTGCCCTTGAGGAAACTCTCCAAAGAGGGGAAAACATGCCCATCCTATAAAACTTTCCTCCCCTGGAAAGGTAGCACAGACCGGCCCTGTGTTTTTTCCCTGGTCATAGAGATACTAAAGCACAGACAAAATCTAGCGACTGGCACAGAGCACAACATCCAACCCTGTCTGGCCTGATGTGCTAGGGGAAGAGGCATTTGCCAGCAGGAAGAAGAGGTGGGATCAGCACCTTTGTAAGGATCGAGGGGCATAACTTGCTGGCCAAGCTTTCCTCAGAAGAACACGATGAACAGATTTGTATATGTATGTGTGCGTGTGCATGCTTTTATGTTTATGCACACATAACTTCCTGCCAAAAAAAAAATAAAGCTCACAGGCTCATTTTAGAGGTCCAACACCATGAAGCATTCATTTCTTCTACCCCAAATCATACCTAAGAAAACCAAAGCCTTCTAAATCAAGCATATTTCTGCTTTTTTTTTTTAATCAGCCTCCAAGATCACCTCAAGAGATCCCAAAGGAAACTGGTACTCAGTAGCTTGTCAAGTAACTGCTCACCTTTCCTCTCCCAATGATTCCCAGGCTCCGCTTGACTCAGCCAGACAAGGGAGTCCAACAGAGCCTTAAGGACTCTTCAGCCCCAAGCCAGGCCTGCACACAAGCAAGATATTGCCACACAGCAGCAGGAAGTCATAGGCTCCCAAAGAACCTACCCCCAGCCCAGTGAGTCTGACTACATCCTCCAGATGCTGCCCAGGGTCCTCTTCAGCCCTACAGCTCAAAGGCACCTGCAGCTTTGTAGCTACAAATACCCCAGCCACTGCTTCTTCCACAGGAGATAGGCATACTAGAAATCAATAAATTCCTGAAGTTCACACATTTCCGATCAGAAAAGGACCTTTTGCTAGGACGGTCCAAGAAATAGGCCTCCGATATACTAGGGGCAGGATAGGGTTTTGACAGGCCCACTGCTGGTGCTACCGGAGGCTTCCCTGCAGCACAAGTCTTAGCAGTGTATCTAAGGATGGTCTACTACTTGCCAATCATGCCCAAAAAAAGAGACCATCTTCCAGAGAGATATTCAGCTAACTACCAGGATCTGGAGTTTACAGGACAGACTTAGCTGAACTCCAGGGAGTACAGCAAGGTTCATCCTTCAGGTTTCTCATCTTTGCCCATTCACCTAAGTTTCCTATCATTTATTTGTTCTTTCCCATATTACCTCTCCCTTGGGCCCAGTTTTAACCCCTTCCTTTCCTTGGATGGCTTTGTTGTTCAGAATCTAAATGTCTTTTTTGAAGTTTCAAAAAATAAGTGGCCAGGAAATTTTGATCTCATCAATATTGGTGTTCTGGGCCCAAAGCTCCAAGTTTGCAGAAGGGTAATCTAGGCTTCCTACTCCTAGAAAAGCAAGTATGTACAGGCAGAATGCAAGCAAGGGCTTCACCCAACCTTAACTAAGACATAATGCTATGCCTGCTCCTTAATACATCAGTGATGCTCACGTCCTGAGATTGACCAGTACGGACACTAAAATAAAGGACACAGCATGGCACAGTGGCAGAGGTGCAACTGCCTCAAGACAGAAGACACAGGGTCACCCAGTTTTCTCTCCTCTGTTTTCCCTAGGACCTCACTGGGGAAGACTAGCTCCCCTGACAGCCAGGGGTAGAAAGGATTTGGATGAAGCAAGATGGAAGCATCATCCAGAATCCCAGTTGCCAAACAAAAATACAAATGTCTCAGACAGTGGAGACCAGAAATATCCAGCGTGGGAGAACCATACCTTCTCCCCATCCCTTTCATTCCAGGCTTGTCTTGGTTAGAAATGAATTGTGGTGGCTTGAATTGCTTCAGGGGAACCCCATCCAAAGGCAAGGTTGATCCCTGGCTCACTAGGCTGGGAAGCAGAAGCACCAGGGGCCTGTCACAATGGTGGGGGAGACAAATTCCCCTCCAATTTAAAAGCCCCAGGGCAGATGGAACTGCCCGGCTCTGGGAGGACCCATCCAGATGGACAGGGTTACGCTCTAGGGCCCAGCTATTGGCAACTGTCGTTGAACCAGGTGGAGTGAGACCCGGTAATTTTACTGCTCCAGAACTTGGCATCCAAGTAGGAGTCAGAGGAGAAGCTGGGACCCTAAAGTGCACCAAGACAACAGCACCAAGAAGATGCCCGGTGGTCTTTCTGCTAAGGCAGGGTAACAATCTCCTTCTATGCCAAAAGGAGAAAGAAATCATCCCACCATCACCCACCTTCACCACCATCAGAGCATCCTGTCTTACTCTTGGCTAGCAGCTTACCATTTTGGAAGTGATACACTGTAAGCAACCCCAAGATGACTCCACAAAAACTGCCAGAAACTAACAGTCTGGACACACAATATTTTGGCAAAAGGTAGATCAGAGAACATGTTACTCCCTAGGGCTAGGATGGCAAGGGTCCAGCTCCAGCAGAAAAGAAATAAGAGGGGGGAAGTCAGGTGACTCCCCCCACTCCACAAAAGCCAAGAAACCTCAAGCCTTCAGGATTAACCTGATGTTATTCCGTCTGAGCCAGAGGTTGGGGAGGAAGTTTTACCACGAGGCAGAGGAAGATCATCGGGTGCGCACTTGGAAGTGCTGCACGAGTGGAGATCAGTCAGTCTGGGGTTTTTTGTCTCCCACAGAAGGGGAGAAAGAATCCTACCAGCTGGTCTAAAGTAGCACTTGGGAGGGTGCTACCATGCTGGAAACAGGATATAAATAGAGCTGAGGCAACCTGGCACTCAGCACAGTAGACAGGCTGTCGAGCAAGGGACCCCTTCAGCCATAGGGCTCCAAGCCCTGGAATGACCAAGGAGAGAGTGAAGAATGAGATGGAGTTTGTACCCAGAGGCCTTCCTGCCTGAGCCTCAGGAGCCTTGGCTGGACTGTGGATGGAAGGAAGATGCCAGCCAGGCCCCTTGCCATAACATATCTCCTTTACCTAGGGGCTAGGAAAAGTAGCAAGGGAGGAGGTGGGGATGATGGTTGGCAAACATAGCAATGGTCCATACTTCCTCTGCATGAGAGAAAGTAGCAAAGACAAATGGTAGATTCTGCCAGGAACATGTGGATTTCATTGAAAGGAGGAATAATCCTGAGACAGACACTGGGGCATCCCAATAACCCCCATGTTCATCCTACCCACAGATACCCAGTTGTCTGCTGTCTTTCCCCCTTCTTCTCCCTTCATACACCACAGAAAGACATGTAGCACTTAAATCTGCATGACCCACCAATCTGAACAGATATATACATACAGAAACACACACATTATATAGATATGTATCTGTATCTATACATATGTAAGCTTGAAGGGGGTGGAGGATGGGAAACCCATCCATCTTCCAGGATTTGAAAAACTGAAAAAGAAGAGAGAAATGGAGACATTTGGCTTCCTCTTCTTCCTCAACCCTCCCAAAGGTAGCTGGAGGAGATGAGAAAAGTCTGTCTAGGGAGCTTTTTCCCTGCTCTCAAATTACTTCCCACGACCCTGCACTCACAGCTTATACCTCCCTCCCTCTGCCCTGTGAGTGAGACCAACTGGCCAAGGGATTGAGGATTTCATTCAAAGACTATTCCAAAAGGAGAAGAGGAAGGAAATGGTCCAGACTGGAGTAAAGATTTGCACAATTCCCACAACAAAAATTCAAGGCAAGCCATTTACTGATGGAAGAAGCAAATTTACCCCCATGCCGTGTCAGTCAAACCCACTCTAACCATCCCCCCACCCCCCAACATATATTTCTTATAGATCACTTTCTCCCCTCTGCTCCCCATCCCCCTAACCAATTCTCTTGCCCTTAGAACCTTTACAGTTGGCGCTAAGCTACAACAAGGTGGCATGGCCTGAGTCATCATGGTCCACACTGTTGAGAATGGCCGTCTGGTCCTCAGCAAGCTGGCGATGACACAGGTCTGAGAGGCGGGCAAAGGGATCAGGACGAGAGTGTCTCTTCTTCTTTCGGAGGCAGACAGCTTCATCGGGCCACAGTACCTGAGAGTTAGGAAGTTGCTGAACCTGGGAAGCAGAACCGTCTGGGGAGAAGAGGAAAACAAAACATAGAAGCATGGTTGGTAGGGATGTGGGAAGTAATATCACACACTTACCCCAGACTTCTGGCATGGGAACAAGAGGATCAAATGAGAGTTTGAGAAAGCCAGAGATTTCTGTAACACAGAGCTTTTCTTCTCTGACTCAGACAACCAGTAGTCCTACCCACTAATACAAGCCAGATGATATGAAAATATAGGAAACATTTTCCCCAGTTTACAGCCTCTGTTAATCCAGGTGACAAGAACATTTGAAACAATCAGTTCTATACCCAGAAGGAATATAAGCATCTTGAATCAGAAATTTCTAAGAAGGCAATGCTAAGAACTAAGCATTAGATTTGACACATGAAATACTGATTTTTTCACCCCAAATCCATGAATCATAAGTACTTTAAAGCTTATGGTTAACCTAATATGGTTAACCTAAGAGGTTATTTAGGCAAACTCCTGCTCGCTCCATGTTGTTCTATGAATCATAGAAGTATGGAATCTTAGAATTAAAAAGAAATCTCAAAGATTATCTAGTGCAGTTGTGACTCATGAACCATTAATGTTCTCTACAAAATTCCTAACAAACGATTATTCAGCCTAAACTGCAGGAAGGCAAGCACCAAGTCTTATCTAAACATTGTATCTAACCCAGAACCTGGCACAATGCTCTTCACTATCTGTTAGGCTGGAACTGAGTCTAGCTTCCAAGTTAACACTGCCAGAGGCAGGGAACTCACAACCCTATAAAGCAACTGATTTCATTTCTGGACAGCTTTAATTGTTAGAAAGTTCTTTGTTTTGAAGCCAAAATCTACATCCCTGTAACATAACATTTGATTTGTAGTTCTATCCTCTGGGACCAGGCACATTAAGTCTTTTTTTTTAATTAATAGTATTTTATTTTTTCAATTACACATAAAGACAATTTTCAACATTCAAATTTTGAAAGATTTTGAGTTCCAAATTTTTCTCCCTCCCTCTCTCCCCTTCCCTTCTCCCCAAAGATGGCAAGCAATCTCATATAGATTATACACGTGCAATCATGTAAAACATATTTCCACGTTAGTTAGTAAAAGAAGAAACAGAAAAAAGGGGAAAAACATGAAAAAAAACAAAAAAGTGAAAATAGTATGCTTCAATCTGCATTCAGACTCCATCAATTCTTCCTCTGGATGTAGATAGTATTCTCCATCATGAATCTTTCAGAATTGTCTTGGATTGTTATATTATTGAGAAGAGCTAAGTCAATCATAGCTGATCATTGCACAATGTTACTGGGTTTGGGGTGGGGTTTTTTTTTTAGTGTTTTATTCTCCCCAGTTACATGTAAAAACAATCTTTAACATTCGTTTTTAAGACTTTTGAGTTCCAAATTCTCTCCTTTCCTCCTCCTCATCCCCCTTCCCCATTGAGAAGGCAAGCAATTTGATATAGGTTATATGGGTAGTCCTACAATGTTACTGTTACTGTGTACAATGTTCTCCTAGTTCTGCTCATTTCTCTTAGCATCAGTTCATATAAGTCCTTCCAGGTTTTTCTGAAATCCACCAAGCAGATTAAATCTAATCCCTCTTGTCTATGACAACTCCTCAAATATCTGAATAATGCAATCATGTGTCCCCCCCCCTAAAACTTTTCCTCTCCAATCTAACTATTCCCATTTCCTTCAACTAATCCTCAACACATGGGGTTGAGTTCCATAATTACCACTTTGATATCTATGGGATTTTAGAGAAATAACTTCCCCTTTCTAAGCTTCATCTGTTGAATAGGTGTGACTACACTAACAGGAAACCTGTATGAAAGAGAATTAGTCACAGACTTCTCAAGACAGATGGTTCCCCCTGAAGATGGCTTGGTTTATCACCCTCACTCAAAGGAATACTTTGCCTAACCCATCCCATAGGTTTAAGGGCATGATTCTTTCAAGTTCTAATGCAGAGATTCTTAATCTTTTGTGTTATGACTCTTTGGCAATCTAGTAAAGACTATGGACACTTTCTTAGAAAAAAAACCTTTCTAAATGCATAAAATAAAATACAGAAGACTTTAAGGGAAACAAATTATATTGAAATTCAGTTCAATTCAATAAACATTTATTAAGCACCTCCTATGTGCCAGGCACTGTGCTAAGTGCTGAGGATACAAAAAGAAGCAAAAGATAGTCACTGCCCTTAAGGTGTTTACAGTCTATAGGGGAGACAACATGCAAGCAAACATATACAAAGCAAGCTATATAAAGGACAAATAGGAAATTTTAAAAGAAGGAAAGCTCTTCAATTAAGAGGGGTTAGGGAAAGCTTCCTGTAGAAGATGAATTTTTAGTTGAGACTTAAAGGAAGTCAGAGAGGTATAGTTATCAAAATATATTTTTAAAAAAGCTCATGGACTCCAGGTTAAGAAACCCTGGTCTAAATAAATAGATATTGATCCACAGTCTTCCTTAGCAAGCCATCCTAGTTTATCAAAAGTCATTGGAAAAACTAAACTGGTTGGTAAATGTTGAAGTAGCATTTTTAAAGTCCCAAAAGGTAGCTAGATCTGTTGGTCTAAGGCTACACTTCTGATTGCTTTTGACCTCCATCTGGCATTCTCCCAGTGTTACTGGGTAAACATGGACCACAATCCAACAAAGGTATTAATGTCTGGGCTAAGAGAAGACACCATGGAACAAAGAAGAGCAACCCCTCTGAAATGATATGTATCAGGGAGAGTGAAGTTGAATCTATTTCATAATATTACCCCAAAGATCAAAAAGACTTGTACCAATTCCCATATTAACATTGGAAGTAACAAAATGCTAGGAAAGGAAAGTACAGGGCAACTATATTGTCAAAACAGGGTCAGTTAAGTCAATAAGCATTTATGAAGCACTCTGCTAAATGCTGGGAATACAAAGAGGGGGACAGGACAGCCCCTGCCCTCAAGGAGTTCACAGTCTAATGGGGAAAACAACATGCAAACAACTATATGCAAAACACACAGAATAAGCAGGAAATAAGTAACAGAGAGAAAGTACTGGAATTGGGGAAGTCTTCTGGTAGAAGCTGGGATTTTGGCCAAGATTTGCAGGACATTAGGAGGCAGAGGTGAGGAGGGAGAGTATTCCAAGCATGGGGGACAGCCAGAGAAAATGCCCAAAGCTTAGGATGGGGGGAAACCTGGAGAATTCAGTTCTGAGAGACTCTAACAGCAGAATTCACAGTGACATAAAAGCCAGGAGAGGGTTTCAAGACAGACAGACTGGACAGTGGGAAAGAATTGAAAGAGACCTCATGGAGTTATGAACTGATCCAACCATTCTAGAGAGCAATTTATAGCCTAAAAGGCTATAAAATCATACATACCCTTTGACCCAGCAATACCTCCACTAGGTCTGTATCCCAAAGAAAGTACAAAAAAAAGATAAGAAAAGGACCTATATGTACAAAAATATTTATAGCAGCTCAGTTCTTTTCGTGGTGGCAAAGAATTCAAAATTGAGGGGATATCCATCAATTGGGGAATGGCTGAACCATTTGTGGTGCTGTGGTCATGATGAAAGACTAATGTGCTATAAAAAAATGATAAGCAAGATGCTTTCAGAAAAACCTGGAAAGACTTACATGAACTGATGCAAACTGAAGTGAGCAAAACCAGGAGAATGGTGTATATAGTAACAGCAATACTGTACAATGATTAACTGTGAATGACTTAGCTATTCTCACCTATACAACGATCCAAGACAATTCAGAGGTCTTATGATGAAAAAATGCTACCCACCTCCAGAGAAAGAACTGATGGAGTCTGAATGCAGATTAAGGACTACTTTTTTTATTTACTTTATTTTTCTTGGATTTGGGTTGTTTTAGGGGGTTTTTTGTCTGTATTTTCTTTTACAACATGATTAATATGGAAATGTGTTTTATATAACTGTGCATGTATAACCTATATCAAATTGTTTACCTTCTCAAGGGAGGGAGAAAAGAGAGAAGGGGAGAATTTGGAACTAAATATTTTAAAAAACAAATGTTAAAAATTGTTTTTACATGTAATTAGAAAAAATAAAATATTTATTAAAAGAAAGAAGGAAAGAAAGAAAAGTAAGAAAGAAAAAAAGACTCAGACACCATCTATCTAGTCTATTCTTAGGTGGCACAGTAGATAGAGGGGCAGCTAGGTGGCACAGTGGATAGAGTGCCAGCCCTGGAGTCAGGAGGACTTGAGTTCTAATCCAGCCTCAGATACTTACTAGCTGTGTGACTCTGGACAAGTCACTTCATTTCTGCCTGTCTCAGTTTCCTCACCTGTAAAATGGGAATGATAATAGCATCTACTTCACAGAGTTGATATGACAAAATGACTTAATTATGTAAAAGCATTTTGCAAACCTGAAAGGCTAGTTACCATCATTATCAATCTTATTATTGTTTTTAATGCCTAAAAGGAATCTTCACTAACACACCTAACAAGTGGTCATCTAGCCTTTGCTTGAAGACCCCCAAGGAGAAGGAGACCTCCACCTCCAAGGCAGCCCATTCCATCTAATTCCATCTAATAGCTCTAATTTGTTAGGGAGTTTTTCCTGATGTCTTAGCCTAAATGTGTCTTTTTTGTTTTAACAACTTGTACCCACCCCTCCTGGTGCTGCTCACTCGGGCCAAGCAGAGTAAGTCTCATCCCCCTCTTCCAGAAGACAGCCTTTCAAAAATGAGAACACAGGTCTCTTGACCCCTTAACTTCTGCTTTTCCTGGCTAAAGGCCCACAGAGCCAGCAAGTGAAAGAACAGGGCTCTTCCCCACAACTCACCGGATCGCTTTTTGGATTTCGAGGAGCCCTTGGTTGACTTTTTGGGCTTCTTTATCCGTTGGTATTTCAGAGCTTCAAGCCTCTCAGGTGCAGCAGAATTCCCGGGTGCAGATGGATGTGTTCTGGAAAGGAGGAAAGACAGATAAATGCCGGTCAGCATGACTGACTTTTCCCTCAAGGAGTGAAGTTGATTGGCCGTCCCATCTGGAAGCAGAGAGCAGTTCTGTGGAGGCTGGATTCTCCTTCTATCTCCCAGACTTCAGTCTTTCCACCAAAAAGACCTCCCCACCACCATGGCCATGTGCACCTCCTCCCTCCCTTCCTGTGCTCAAGGAAGGTAGAGAATTCTGCAACGAGTGCCAGCTATTCCTGAATCCCAACTCCGGCAAGTTCCTGTAGAGGGAAACCAATCTGTGGGAGAATCAGAAGGTCCTGAAAAGTAGAAACCTTGGCTTTGGCACAATGAGCGCCCCTTCAGCACTGCCCATAAGCCGTGAGGTCAGAGAGGGAGGCAACTCCGACGTCTGAAGTTCCTGGAATACCTGGCAGGAAAAGTCCTCTAAGAGAAAAGGCAAGAGGCGTGGTGAGGTGGATGGCAGGTAACCCCAGCTCAGATGACTGGCATGCAGCACTGTGCTCCTCCTTCCCCCAGCCTCCAAAGAAGGGCAGCCCCAAGGCTAAGGGAGAGACGTCACATCCAAAAGAAGCCATGGGCTTCCAAGGCCCCATCCCACAAGACTTCTTCACGTCCATCTGACTGCAGGGCAGAGGCGAGCAGCCAGAGGCAGAAATCATCTATTAAATGCCAACATTTCTCAGTAAGGGGATCCCCTTAACCCTCTGCTGGCCACAGCTAGAGGTCCACATTAAAGGGGGAAAACGGTGGGAATGGAGTATATGAACCAGAGGTCTCTGGAAGTCCTGTTCATGACTCAGGGAGCTGGGTGAGGGGAAGGGATCAAGAGTAACCACAAACAACAAAAACTAACAGATATAGGGCCAACAAGACAACAACAAACTACAATAAGTCACACATATGCAACAATAACTCACATAGGTAGGGCCAACAATATGACAACAAACTACAGTAGTTCACACATATAAGGGCTAACAATACAACAGTAACTCACACAGGTAAAGTCCAACAATACAACAACATACAGCAGACAACTCACTTAATATAGCATTTGACGATTTCGCAAAGCTCTGTTCTTCACCATAACCCTCTAGAGTAGGACGTTAGCATATCATTAACCCCATCTAACAGAAGAGGAAACTGAGGCTCTGAGAAAGTAAGTGACTAGCCCAAGGTCATATAGTTATTAATGGAATTTAAATCCATGTCTCCTGAATCCAAGAACAGCATCCTCTCCACTACATTATTTCTGTTTTTTAACCAAAGTGTTCCCAATTCATTCAGTCCACAGCCATCGGCAGGTGTCTATTAAGCTCTGCTATTGAGCTCTGCTGTATGAAATCACTTGCCTTCCTGGAAACTTAAGCAAACCCCTTGGCATCTCATATCAGTGTCAATACTCAATGAATACCCAATCGATAATGGTTACATCTAGGTCAGGGAATATGGTGGGAGTGAGAAAGGGTGTTTTTCTGTCCTCTCTCTTTCACATCCATGGGCCCAGGGGTTCTGTGACTTACTTCATAGTTAGAGAAAGGCCTTGGTCTAATTGGAATCTATGTAACTCAAGATGATACAATGGCCAAAGGGAATAGAGATGAGGGTCTGCTAAAGCATGTTTAGTCTACCCAGAGGTTGTAAGAAAGAAACTATTGCTATTTCATTTAGGAGGAAATCAACCGAGGGATTGAAGAAAAATGTTCCACAAATGGGGGAAGGCAGTTTTCTACTGATAGTAATGGGCTAGGGAAAAATTCATCTTCTCAGAAAAGTATAGAAATGGAAGAGTCCTTAGAGGTCATCTGGTCCAGTAATGCTATCCAATGACAGTCATCCCTAAGAGCCATAGTGTGTGCCTACTATATCTCTCCATAACAATTTTTCTACAGGTGAAATCTGGTTAAAATGAACATCAAAAGCAGTCTAAAAGAGAAAAGGCAGACACAGTATCATAATAGGAGCTAGATGAGTGTGTATTAAATTGGGGAGGAACAATTCTACCTGCTTTGCTTAAAGGGAAGGCATGGAGTTCCTTTAGGAACTTATTGATCCAATTCAATGAGCATTTATGAAGTATGAGATGTAGAAGGCCTTAGTGAGGGGGTGAAGATATACTGACCATGATAAAACAGTTCCTCTGCCCTCAAAAAGCTTACATTTCCCTACTGTCTATGACTTTGGTCTTTTTTTTCCTTAATATAATAATCTATGATCTTGGGATCATAGATTTGCAGCTAGAAGGGACCTTCGAGGCTCCCTCATTTTACAGATGAGGAAACTGAGGCCAAGAGATGTTAAATGACCCACCCAAGGTTTCACAGCAGAGACTTGAACCCTGACCATCTGATGTCAAATCTGCCCTTCTTTCCCCTGCACCACATAGCATCTTCCTTGATGGCTACTTTCCTGAGTCATGGAACAGCTTCCTGGTCACCAAGAAGAGAACAGATGCATGGTGGGCAGAGAATCACAGAACTTGAGGGTGCTTTGGACAGCGCCTAGCCTCATTTTTATAGATAAGGAAACTAAGGTCCAAATCATGGAAATATAGTAGCTAGCCCAACATGGCCCTGTAAATCTGTGACAAAGCTCAGCCTAAACATGAGATTTCCTACTGCTGGTTCAAGACTTTTCGTGCTCCATCATAGTCAGGACCCTGCTATACCACCCCCTGAGGCCAGCAGCGATACCAATGTGCACATGTGGCATGTGCACACATGTATCCAGTAGGCCCAGATATTCTATTAGAAGGAGGCAATTTTGCTCCCCCACCCCCTTTCACAAACCTTTGGCTAGGAGGTGGAGAGATGAGTTTACCATCTTCCACAATAATGACCTGACATCCAACAGCTAGGTGGTACAGCGGATAGAGCACTGGGTCTGGAGTCCGGAAAACCTGAGTTCAAATCTGGCCTCAGGTATATTTATTAACTGTGTGACCCTGGCCACGTCACATATCCACTGTCTGTTTTAGTCTTTTCATCTGTAAAATGGAGATAATAATAGCACTTACCTCCCCAGGCTGCTGTAAGGATCAAATGAGATAATATGTGTAAAGTGCTTGGCACAGTGCCTGGCACATAATAGGTGCTACATAAATGCTAGCTATTATTATTATTATTATTTTTTATTATTATTGTCTATTCTCTCCACAGCCTTGACTATTCACCCTACTATGATTCCAACTCTTTCTTAGTTTGGGTGGTCCCCTAAGTTCTCATACAGCCCTAACTGAAAAGGGAATCAGGCCATTTTAGAAGAGGTATAGGGGATGGAGATAAATTGGAACCTAAACGTAGGCCAAATGTCCATCCCCAACCGACATTACTACTGCCTCTGAAGGAGAAGAATTAGAAAGCCCTTCCCTTTCCACCTGTAATGTTTCCCAGCCCTGAAAGCAGTCTTCAAATTAGAAGATCACATGGTCTGATTAGGCAAATGACAAGAACTGGAATAGTTCTGTGCATAGTATTCTCCAGATCTAAATGATAGTGAGTCACAATGCCATAATGGAAACTAATAAAGAGGTCCATCCACAATTACTATAGATTTTTCCAAATGGGCCACACTAAAAGATTAACCATCAGTTCTTCAATTCAACAAACATTCACCATTTTTCAGATTAAATTGAATCCCTTTTCAAACTATTTCCCCCATCAAATTCAAATGCTGATTCTACTAAGAGAAAAGAGGTCACACGCTTCAATAGAGAACAATCTGACCTGAGTGCCTTCATATTGTGTTCGACACATGACCTAAGTTACAGAAAACACTTATGTGGCAACAGAAAGTATCCCCAGGGAGACGGAAAATTGGCTGAGGTTCTATCTACAAACAAACAGTTCTGAGTGATAGTAATACACTGAGGGGCAAGCCTGTTCTCACTTGTGAGACAGCCAAACTTGAACCATTCAAGGATGCCTGCTATCTACATTTCTCTCTTGATCCTGGGCTCAAATACCAAAGTATAACAGGATAAGATTCTTTGGGCCCACTGACATAGTCTCATTGTGAGAGAAAACGCAAACATGGAGAGTTTAGAGAGGGGGAGAGATAAAGTATCTACCCAAAATAATGACAAATTGTACAGAAAAGACTAAAGAAATGTGTCCTGGCCAAAACCAGCTGCCCTGCAGAAGCATCTGCCTGAAGCATTGGAATGCCTTTAGAAATCAGTAAGCCAAGTACAGCTTTTCCTTGAGACTACTTCCTAGGTGCCCAGCTCAGCTCTACCGAGAGAAATCTAGAGAGGTTGAATTGAAAAGTATGTTTAACAAGAATTTATTCATTTTCTACTCCATGCCGATTACTGTGTTCAGTGGTAGGTATCCAAAGGAGAAACAAAGCACAATCCTTTCTCCCAAAGAGCTTACAGACTCACAAATGAAGAAGCTTTCAATTCCTGAAACATCTAGAAGACAGACATTTTAAGGAACTTTGGGTAAGCAAGATCCTACTCTAGGACCAAAACTATCCAAGAGATGTGACCTCAATGAGTGAGTCCAGTCAAAATGGATTTCAAATCTGGCTTCTCCAATGCTTTATTTCTGGCTTCAAGTAGCCTGAGGTCTTCACAATATCTGGGAAACTTCTTCTTTTCATAGAACAAAGGTAGTCCTGACACACAGAAGAAGGTTCCTACATCTTGAATTTTTCCTGATCTTCCAAGAAATCTAGTCCGCGTGAACTTCTAACCCATCCAGACTACGGAGCTTTTTGAAATTAGATCCACAAGCAATAGAGTGAAGGCCCCAGAGCTTCATTTGCAACTTTTTCCTCACTCTTCCTACAGCTTCAAAGAAGTTAATATTTTCAGCTGCCCTCTCTCCAAACCCTCCTAAAGTAGCTGAGATGGGCTTTAAAAGTTAGGAAAGCAAAGCTGAATGCCACTTAGGCCAATGAGAACTTTTTCAAGGGCTCAAGGCCAAGTCAACATGACACAAACTATCTTTTTGGTCTCCCCCAACACCAAAACAAGAAGAAACTAAAGAACATTGATATTCGATACTGACTTTTTTTATGGTTCCCAAACAACTTAGACGCTAACCTAACAGCTTGGTTTTATAGACAGGGAAACTAAAGCAGAGAAAATGAAATCGTTCAAAATAAAGGCCAAAAAAGGAAATCAAGTGTTCAGGTGTATAGCCCTTTGCATAACCACAAAGTCGTATCCATCTGGGGTGGTGTGTGTGTGTGTGTGTGTGTGTGTGTGTGTGTGTGTGTGTGATAGGACCAAAGAGAAGAAGTTCCTGATCCCAAAATCAATTACTTGGCTACAGAATTCAGAAAAACAGAATTTCTTGATACCAAAAGCAAAGACTCAGCCACAGGATTCAGAGGAACAGCTTATAGCTTCTGGCTTCTTTCTAAATGAGAGGTCAAACTGAAGGGAGCCTGAGGGATAGGGTAACATTTACAACTATCCCTACACCCAGCCCTGGGAGCCAGGATGGAGATGGCCAGGATGCTATAGCATGAAAGGTTCAGCCAGGACAGGTCTTTTGTGTGGCTTACTGAACAATGTAAGGGGACCCTGGTTGTAGAGAAAGAGCTCACATATCTGCTTAGTCCCCACCGCTAGGACATGACAACACCATGGTCATGATTAACTGACACAGGAATTAGTGGAAGGGAGGCTGGGAGTTGGGGGGAGGGTGCCACTGGTAACAGAGAATGAGCTGAGAAAACAGCATGGACTTCTACAAGTCTGTAAAAATGGCTGATCCACAATACACAACTCCCAACTCCCCATTTGGAGATAGGAGTTGCAAAGAGGGAGAGAAAGGAAAGGGAAAGGGAAAGGAGCAAAGATGGAGAAAACAACCACAAGGCTGGGGAGGAGGAAGAAAGAGGGAGAGAGAGAGAACAAACGTAGACAAGAGGTGTCACAACTTCTTCTAAGCAAGACCAAGTGGAAACACATGCACAGCATGAAGACAGCTTGAAAGGAGAACCTAGAGACTAACAAATGGCCCCAGCAGCTACCACAACCCAGAGGAGTCTCAGCAAGTAGGAGAGTAAGCTTGGCTTCTGCCACCCCACCCCCCCAGAATCATGAGGTATCTAGCTTGGGAAGGTGGCAAAGAGGCTGTCCTAGGCTGGCAGTGTCTCCTGGGTGAAGAAGACAGGTCAGTGGGTGAGTGGAGGGGGAAGGGAGAAAGCATAGGCATGCTCACAAACCCCATTTCTAAATTTGCCACTACAGTGAGGTGGCATCTCAGCTGTCTCAGATCAGCATGGTCTGAGGAGGGCATGGCAGGAAATAATGGGGAAAGTCAGGAAATGGGGCCGTAAAGGGATAGTCAAGCTCCTTGTATCACTTGGAATAATGGCAGAGCTGAACCACTCTTGGGAAATTGTAGTGAGAGCTGAGCCGGTCCCTAGAGGCTCCCACATCCCAATAGATGCTCTGGAGCAAGAAAACTAAGGGGTCACAGGGGATAGAGGGGTGAAGGGGTGACAGCTCAATCACTCACTCTAAAGCTCTGGTACACAAGGCTGGCAGAAGGCCCCTGGGGCAGGTGAGCTCATAAAGCACTCCACTAGTTCTTCAGTATCCTCCCCTAGTGTTAATGACTGCAGTATAATACCCAGTTGGCCCCACACACAATTTCAAGCACCCTCGGTCGCTGACAATTTTATAGCCCCAGATCATAAAGAAATGGCAAGGCTTTCCACTTTATGAGAGATGACTCTTATTACTGAAAGGGATTTAGCATCCCTCAGTCCTCTCTGATTGGAGATAATCACTCACCCTTACTAACGCTGGGCAAAAGGGAAATTCAGGCTTCCTTCATCTGGATCACAAGGGATGCTCTCTAACTCTTGCCTAAGGTTGGAAAGAAGGGAGCCCATGACCAGAAGAGATTTCTTCTGTGGCTGGTAAAGAGGGGAGCTCGCTGGCATCTCCAGATCCTTTCAAGTGACCTAAGCCCTGAAGCCCCTATTTGGAGGAGTAAATCCAGATCAGGAGCAGAAGATTGAGAGCTCCTGCTAATCACCAGAAAGAAGAAAGCCCCAAATCAGGCAGCCCCACAGCCTGCTCCCCCCCAAAATTCTCTCTGGTTGGTCCTATCTTATGGAGCACCCACAAGGCCCCCTCCACAGAGCTCTCTACTGAGGGGTTTGAAGTGAATAGCACTCCTGCCCTGTGGCTATGGGCACCTGCAAACATAACTGCCCAGTAAGGGGAAAGGCACATATACATGACTGAGAGTAGGCTAGTAGAGGAAAGGAACACGACAAAATGAAGTGGGAATATTGCCCTGCTGTCAGCCAGGTATGCCTACAAGTATCCCTGCCAGGGCCTGTCACTAATGGCAAAGAGCTGAGACAGCTCTAGGCCCAGAGAGCCCAAATTAAAGGGGATGGTACCAATGGCATTTCAGTAAGGAGCCTGAAAGGGGAAGAGCTTCAGGGGAGGAGCCAAGTCTTCCAGGAGCCATACCTAATGTTTCTTTGGAAACTTGGACAAAGGATTAACCAAGGGGCCTCAGTGGCCCCAGAGTTTTCTGAGAATGGAGAGATGCAAAACAGATCCCATGCAATCTAGACCTAAATGGTACATCCAGGCTCCCAAGGGACCACTTTCACATGCTGTGGGCAGGTTATGTGGTGTGTGAGGAAAGTAGTACCTAGAATCGGGGAATCTCTCCAGGAAGCTTTGGGAAGAGGCTGCTGTGTAGAAGGTGGGAAGGTCAAAAGCAACACTGAGGTAGCCCTAGAGTTCCTTCCACCTGGCAGGCTTGTTGAGGCAGTTCTGAGTGAAGAACTCAGAAGCCAGGGGCAGGTGGGGTAAGGGAGTAGGGAGGAGGGAGGCAGAAGGAGTCAAAGTTACCTTCCCAAAGACGGGGGTAACCAGAGGGGATCTGGTTAGGCATTTCCCCTCTAATTCCCCTTTAAAGGAAGCGATGGCCCTGGCAAAGCCCCGTAAGTCAGTCTGTCCATCCTCCCGCTCGCTCCCCCCAGCCCCCGCCCCGGCCCCAGCCGGGTGGCCGCGGAGCTCCCTTACCTATTGAGCTGAGGAGAGGCTTGTCTCGACAACACTGCCCAGATAGCTGAGATCAATCAGAAACAAAGCAGTTATCAACACCAGCAGCGCAGCGGGGGACCACCCCACATGCCCAGAGGGAAGGGGAAGAGGAGCACGGGGAGCCGAGAACCAATAAGGTAGGCCAAAGATGGGAATGGGGGACAGGAGAGGAAGGGAGAGAGACAGAGAACCAAACGGGGAGAGATGGAACGAAGCAGATGAACAGGCTTGCACAAAGCACAGACGACAGCTGCGACGCACAGCATCTCCTGCGACCGGAGACAGGCGGGGTGGGGGTGCGCATCTCTAGATAACAGGGGTTCCAAAGCCACAGGAAGTTACATGTGGTCAGCCCAGTTACAGGCTCTCCCCCACCTCTCCCTGAACCCCCAACACTCCCTTCTCCTCCCACCAGCAGCAGCCAGGCATGATGCTGAGGGTGGGAGGTAAGGCTTGAGACTTCCAGGTACCAGAGGGTGGGAGTGAAACATGGGTCCCTATGTGTAGGGAGGTAGGAGAGAGCTGGCCTCCCCTCCTCAACCACCTCTCTGTCTTTCCTACTATCATCCCAGCCTCCTCTGGGCTGGGCAGGGCACAATCCGGCTCCCCTCCAACGGGCGACTACTTCAAGAAAAGAGACCAAAGGACGGAACCAGAGGGAGAAAGAGAGAAAAAGAGCGAGAGAGAAAGAAAGAGAGAGAGAAAGGGGGGGGGAGGAAGAGAGGGAGAGGGATTAAGAAAGACACTACAGAGACTCAGCAGGCTGCTCTGGACAAATCAGACCAGCCCAAAGAAGATGGAAAGAGAGGAAGAGAGCGACAGAGAGAGGAGACAGACTAAGAGTGGGGGAGAGGAAGGGAAGAGGAAGAAAAAAGGAGAAGAAAGGAGGGCCAGGGAAGGAAAAGGCAAAAGAGGAAGAAGATGGATAAAGACAGGTGTCTGGGGGTGACTCTGGTACCTGGAATACCAGCCGCTAGAGTATAGGGTGTGCTCTTTCTGCCGGGCCGATCGCGGGAGCTTGTTTGTCTGTCTGTCTTTCTGCAGCTTCCTGCGAGGCGCGCGGGTGGGGGTGGGGTGTGTGGCTCCTGGCATGCCGTTGACAGGGCCTGAGTGTTTCCTCCCAGCCCCCAAGCCTGATGGCCGCAGCATCCCTTTCGGAGAGGCCGTAGGGACAGGGACTGGAGACCGGTGCGCGCTAGGGCTGCTAAGGGGCAGGAGGTTGGGGACAGGAGGCCCCTGCCCTGGTGATCCAGGAAAGTCACGCTCCGGGGTCCTGCTTCGCAAGGGAGGAAGGGCCAGGAAGAAAAGGAATGTGGAGACACTCTCTGGGCTTCCCCTGGACCCACCACCCGCCCCCAATGCCAGGACCACGTAGATTCACAGGGAGGGGAAGAACCCTTGACTCCAAGAGAAAGTGACTGAGTACCCACACACACACATAGGTCTCTCACTCTAATGTACCAGTACTAATTCCACTCCTTCCTCTACCCCCAACTACTCCCACCATCACTCCCAGTCACCTTAAATGCCTCCTAAAGCTCTGGTGGGATAGGTGGGTAAAGGAGATCCCTCATGCCACTGGCTGAGCACCTGGACAGGCGACCACCTCCCTCCGCCAATGGCTAATGGCCACACCCTGACCTCTGCCAATCAGAACTCGTCTCCCAAAGGGATGCTGCAGCATGTCCAAACGAGCCCTGTTATTTGGGTTGATGAGAGGAGTGGAGGCGCAAGGAATGGGGGGAAGGAAGTAGACCAGGTGAGGAGGGGAGGGGGCAGCCACAGCATACTCACCCTGAAGTGGATAAGGTTGTTGGTGGGGGCTCTGGTCTGAGCAGCTCCTCCCCCATCCTCCTAGGGGAGGGTGTCTGTCCGAACACATCCAGGTTGTCCGAAGGCCCAGCAGGGCCCTGGGGCGGGGAGGGATAGCCGGTGGCCAGGGTGGTGAAGCCCATGGCCGGCCGATAACTGGGGCTATCACCCCGACTGCTCTGGGAAGGGGAACCAGTGGATGGCGTGGACTTGCGGGAGAAGCTGACTGCGGCGGGTGGCTGTAGGGTTATCTCCGACATCTCTGCCTGCTGCAAGAGGCCAGGGCGGGGCCTTGCCCGGGCCGCGAGCTCCGGCGAGCCGGTTCGGGAGCTTAGGGGACTTTGGGTCAGAGGCGAGAGCCGCGAGGGCTGTAGCACCACTTGATGTAAACTGGGCTCGGCTCGCCTGCCCTGCCGGGGGCTGGGCCTGGGCCGAGGCTGGGGCTCATACCACCGGGTGTCCAGGCTGAATGTGCTTGGGCCGCCATGACCCGCGGGCTCGGCCGACTCGGGGTAAGGCAACACCGGTATGCCCATACCTTGGCTGGTATGTCTGAGCTGCCCTTGGCTCACCAGAGGTTGCATAGGTTTGTCCTGCCACTTGGTGGCGGTGGGCACTGCGACTGGACCTCTGCCAGGTGACTTGCCTGCCCAACTCTTTGGTGCCTCCAAAGACAGGATACCCGGGTAGGCTGCGGGCACCTGGAGGGAGGTGGGGGGCAGTCCCCGGGGGAGGCAGGCCTTTGGCTGCAGGCTCTCTGCCACATCGCAAGGGTGCAGCTGGTGGGGGAACATCATGGCTGGGGACTCCAGCCCACCGAAAGGAAATTCAGGTCGGCCCCAGGGCTCTGGGGAGCGGCCTCCCGTAGGTGTCTGAGTAAGGGGCAGCGTGCTGTTGGAGTTATTCTCGCCGTTCTCCTCGGGGATGGTGGGGTGACCGAAAGGCCCCTCAGGGTGCAGGGGTGGGGATGACATGACGGAGCTCAGGGGGCTGCCCACTTCAGGCATGTAGAACGGTGGGGGCTCCACTTCCCCAGGGCTGCTGCTGCTGAGGTAACCGTAGTACTGGCCGTGGTGGAAGGGCCGGGGGCCTGGGGGCCGGGCCTGGCCTGTGGCCTGGAGCCGACCTTCCAGACCACTGGGACCCTCCAGCCCCCGGGGCTGGAACCGGGGACTGTATGCTGGTGGCGGCAGGTAGGACTCTTGGCTAGATGACAGAGGGGTCAGCTGAGACTTGAGGGCAGCCACCGAGGTGGGCACTACTAGTGGGTCATCATTTTCCTCATCTGATTGTCGGAACTCGGGGTACATGTCAGTCTCTTCTGCAAAGGGAAAGCCTTCAATGCGCCGGCTCTTAAGCGAGGGCTCCATCTCAGAGGGATCCATCACGAACCGTCCATCAGGGCCCCGGCTGATAAGCTCGATAGGCGTGGTGGCCTCAGCCTCAGCCTCAGCTTTGGCTACGCTGTACTTTTTGCTGCTGATGGCCCGCTTGGTCTTCTTGTATAAGGACAGCTCCTTCTCACGGCTGGGGCTCAGCATCCTCTTAGCTGCTGGCTGGCCCTGGTCATCGGAGGATTCTGATGGGGCTCTTAGTGTCCTGATACTCTCAGGACTCGCTTTTCCAGAGGATAAACTGGGCAAAGAGACAAAGGAGACAATGAGGAAGAGAGGAAGTAGAATAGGACATCCTTAGTCCAGGATTCACCATTTTATCTTTTCAAGCTAATCTAGTCCCATCCAACACAATAGCATCTATGGCAGGGATACTGAAAGAGAAAGGAGGAGGTACCATCATCATCTCCACCTTCTGTATGAATATTAGGTTCTTTTTATTTTACTTTTTTAAGTTCAGACCTATCATTCATGGAGGTGGGCAGTTCCCAGTAAAGAAACTCCCTCTACCAGTTTCGACCACAACAACTTTGTCATAGTCTTAGAGAGTTGCCTGTGACACTGGGAAGGTAAGTAAGTTGCTCAGGGTCACACAGTCAGTATGTGTCACAGGCAAGACTTGAACCTAGGTCTTCCTAACCTACAGCTCTCTATCCACCATACCAGGCTGACTCTCATTTTTTTTTTAGATAATAACTGCAAATGTCTAATCATTGGCTAATTTCTGCCCCCAGACTTGGCATACGCTTTTGGTCTATCCCCTTTCCCTCCAGACAAATATACATACACACTGTCAACTGGTACAAAACAGTACATCTGTTAGGTGGGGGGGGGGGTGTTAAAATTACACTAATGCATGCATTCCCATGGCCAAAGAGAAACGGTTTTTAGATTATCTGCTAATTTGGATTATCTAAACCACTGCTCTGTTCCATTAGAGTAGGTTGCTTAATGTTAACTGTAGCCATTTATTCATTCATTCATTCCTTCAACAAACATTTACGCTAAATGCCTACTATGTTCCAGGTACTGGATGACTGGAAACCATGACAAGAATCATGTTGATAAATTAAGAGCTAACAGCTCAGAAACTGAGTTAGGGGCATTGAGGCCAGGTGAGTCCTGATGCTAAAATGCTGGGGGAAAGATATCTAAAATGGCTCCCAAATTCCAAGGTAGTACTTTCTAAGCCCTAAGAGTGAGGACAAGAAGGAACATACTACTTTCTCACTGGTACCCTCCACCCCAAACCCTTTTCATACTTCATGGAGATACTCACGGAGACTCCAGGCTCTTCCTGCAATGAGTGATGGAGAGTGGAGGATCTGGAAGGAAATGAGAGAACATGTTGAGGTCTGAGAGACACAAAAGACAGAAGCCATAAGCCACAGTTCCACTTCCTGTTGGCAAAGGGAAAGAGACTTCAAGAAGGGAGAGCCATAGTACAAGGAGGCAGCTCTTGCCATCATTGGCACCTCTCCTGTGGCTTACAGATCTCAGTCCCCACCAGAGAAAGGCCAGAAAATTGAAGTAGGCCTCTTTCCCAGGTTACCTGACTCTACCTCCACAAGAAGACTTTACTCCACCGCCTCTAACTCCACTTCCACCACTGACCCTTTCCCTACTGGCCCTTCCTATCTTCCCTGCTTCCTTATTCCCAACATTTCAAATTACCTGACACTTTACTATCAAGCCTTCCACTTCAATAGACTCTGCTCTTTCCAAAGAAGGTTATCCCAAAACTACTCTAGTCACCATATCCTCCCCTGCCCACCAGACACATTTCCATATAGAGGCAAAGAGGGCCACGTCTCCCCAAGCCAAGTGCTGAGGTATCTTTATTGAATATCTTTTCTGCCTTATAGCTAAGTAAACTTCATTAGCACCTGGCACAGTGTGTACTACATAGTAGGCACTTAATAACTGTTTATTGATTGATTGTTGAATTACTTCCATGTGCCTCATTTTGTGTCAATCCCATATCTAAACCACAGCTGTACTGTCCTGAGTCAGGCCTGCCCATTATAGAGACCATGATGAAGGGTCAACCTCCCCAGGAGATATAGTGGAGGGGAGTCCCTGAACCAGGCCCAATGGGGGTGCCAGGCCTGGGAGGCCAACAGAGCACTCACCTTTTTTGCGTTTGAGCTTGCGCTTCCGCTGTTTGTTGACAAAGCAGGCGGCCAACGTGCTGAAAAGGATGGCTGCTGCCAGGAAGCAGATTGTTGCCACAATGCCAGCCAACACTGGGCGGGCCAGCCCTTCGTCCGTCAGGTCAGGCGGTGGGAAGATGTCTGCCAGGGACAGAAGAAACTCATGAGTCTCCAACCTTCTACACCTTCCCCTAGCCAGGGTTAGTCAATCTTCCCTACCTTTACAGGAAATAACAGTAGGGCTGAATGTTAAGATTTGTCTGATGCCGTTTCCCACCACATAAACTATACTCCAACCAAATTAGACCATTTGCTTATTGTCATCCAAACAAACCCTATTTTGCTCTCATATTCTGTATCAGGAATGCTCTCCACATCTCCATCTATTGCCATCCCATCTATCCTTCAAAGCCCAGGTCAAATGACACTTTCCATGTGAAGCATTTCCTCACACTCCTATCTGAAAGTGATTTCTTAGTCATCTGATCTCAAAGCACTTAACAGAATCTGAGTTGGAAGAAACCTCAGCTATTATCTAGTTTGGTCTCCACACAGGATTTTTTTTCCTTCACAACTTCCCTAAGAAGTACTCATCTACTTCCAAGGATGGACATCTCACTCTCTCCTAAGGTAGCCCATTCCAACAGTTCCACCCACTAGGAAGTCTTTACCTTTATGGAGCAGTCATCTGCCTCTCTGCTTATCTGTGCATTTTTCCTAGTTCAGCCTTTTGAGAAGCTAGGCTTTCTGGGACAGAACTTTTAACTTCTCTCATTTATTTATTCTAACTTGAGTTGTGATAACTTGTATTAATTGCACTGATTTGTTTACTTATTTTATGAATTCTACTACACTGTATACTCCTTGAGAACAATAGTCTTAAAATCTTAAAAGTCAACTTCCTCAAGATCTCTGAGGATCTGTGGTCCACACCAAGAAGGCTGAAGATCAGAGGAGTATGGGTTTTGTTTGTTTGTTCATTTTTAGGGGATTCTGGATTTTGGGGCAGGGAGGTACTCTGGGGACAAGAGGAAAGGCATGGATTCATGAAGAAAAAAATCCTTTAACTCACAAAAGAAAAAAACAAGGATGAGGGATACAAAATGAACATATCAGACTGCCTCACAGAAGTCAGGATAGTTAGATTATAATCTTATGTTTCAAAACATTTTCCTTCTAATCATTGTGAAAATTTTTTCACAATAGACTTGACACACTCCAACAGCCATACAAATCACTTTGGCCTCATAGGCCCAGGTACTGTAAGAAATCATGTCAATCTCAAAAGAAACCATGCAAAATAAGGGCACCAGACGTGAAGATTTTTCATTTTAAGGTCCTTCCCAGCTCTAAAATTTTGTGATTCTTTGAGTATGCAAGTATCTTAAGAAAGGGGAAAACCAGGATTCGCCATGATGGCATTGTTTTAGACTAGGACCCCTACATGCTATTAGTTATATTTTCACTATTACAATGAGGACACGGCACATTATAGTCCAGTGCAAACAGTATTGCACTGGGAAGCCATGTGATACAGGAATGCTAGATTTGAACCCAAGATTACCCGGATTCAAATTCCAGCTTTGCCATGTAGTCACCTGTGTGACCTTAAGCAAACCACTTGACCTCTGTGGTCATCAGTTTTCTCATTTACAAAATGAGAGAGTTGTCTGTAATATAATGGGGTAAGATGCCATGACTTCAAAATGTCCCCGCCAGCACTAAATCTAATGTGGGCTCTAGTTTTGGCTTCTACCACTAACAGTGTAACCTTGGGAACATTGTTTAACATCTCTGGATCTCAGTTTCCTCAAAGGTCCCTTCCAACTCTGAATCTATGCTGTGCTTAATCATCTCTATATCTCCTCTAACCACTTGTAAGGTACATTTGCATATAGGAAGTATTGATGCCCATTGTAGGAGTTTAATAAGTTTAGTGAATGAACAAATGATTCCTGTCTTCTCTTCTTTATTCTGTGCGAATGAATGTGTGGGTTTCCAAAGGATCAGAATGAATAGCCAATAGAAGTTTACCAATGGCTGCAAATGAATGCTGAGTCGTTTTTCAGTCATGTCTAACTCTTCATGACCCCATTTGGGGTTTTCTTGGCAGAGATACTAGAGCGGTTTGCCATTTCCTTCTCCACCTCCTTTTACAGATGAGGAAACTGAGGCAAAGAGGGTTAAGTGATTTGCCCAGTGTCACATAGCTAGTAAATGTCCAAGGCCAGATTTGAGCTCAGGAAGATGAGTCTTCCTGACTCTAGGCCCAGCACTCTATCCGCTGCACCACCTAGCTGTCCCTGCATTTGGGGGACAAGAAATATAAATGTACCTGGGCCTCTATCTTTGGGAGTAAAAACACTGTGGTAATGCAAGGAGTTGTCAGATTATTTTACTCAGATTAGTTTATAGCAGTATGGGAAAAGGGACTGGACCTGAGATTTCATTGACATAGGGGACTCCCAGGTGAGGAAACTCCCTCTATCAGTGCAGGTTGGCACCTTCTCTGCAATTTATAGTCTTAAAGAGTTGCCTAGATCACTGAGAGGTTAAGTGAGATGGGCATGGCCAAACAGCCAGTATGTGCCAAGGACAGAACTTGAACCCAGGTCTCCCTGCCTTAAAGGCTGTCTCTCTCTGTCTGCTACATCCTGCTTCTCCTTATAGCAGTATAAAGCATTTACTATTGACATAACATATCTTGATTGCATGACAAGTATACTAATGAACTCTAGAAATTAGAGGGGGGAGATTGGAAATTTGATCTACTAGACAAAACTTCTCGGCCATACAATAAAATATTAAAAACAATCATATTGGTTGGTTAGGTAGAGGTCCTTCATTGTGTGGAGGAGCAGAAGGGCTCATGCCCCGTGAGCCACATCTAAGCTCGCTCAGTACAGAGCAATTCTGAGACCAACCATCAGACCTCAAGTCATCTATCTATTCCAGCCTTGGCAGCATGCCTACTCCCCACTGCCCCATCTCCCTAGGCCTCCTCTCCCTGGGGCTGAGCCAAGAAGGAGGTAAGCTGTGTTCTGACAGCTAAGGCTGGAGCCTTAATTAGACAGTTGTAATAGATGAGACAGGGGGGTTGTATTCTATCCCAGCCCATGCACAAATGATTGCAGTGCCTGGGCTCCCTCCCCTATCTAGCCCTAGGGGAAGCTGTAGGGATGGTACTACAGTTCAAGGTACTGGGTACTCAGTTTGGTTACCTTGAAGGTCTTTTCTCTCCATTTTAGGGGAGGGAAAGGGTGAGGACGAGGTAATTCCAATGTTTCAGGATCCGTGGTTACAGAGAGGGGGGCAAAAGCAGGCCAGAGGCAAACAATAGACATAAATAAAAACCTGAAGAATTGGGATTATTTAGCCTGAAGATAAGTGGGGTAATGAAAGAGGAAGAGAACAATGATTATGAACACTTCCTTGCAAAACAAGCATAATTATCTCTTAAAAAGAGACATACAATATATGGCACTCAATAAATATTTCTTGAGTTGCTGAAAAACTTTTTCCCCATCATTAGTCTTAAAAGGGAAAAGAGACTTAAATTGAAGCAAGCAAGACTTAATTTAAACACCAATTAACATTATTAGATTCTGTAATGAGGGAAGTGGTTGCAATTCTTTTTGTGGGTGTCATGAAGAATAAGTCAGACACCCATCTATTTAGGTTGTGTTAAGGTACAATCCGGGATGGAAGCTAAATGGATTTCAATGGCCTCAGGGGATGTAATAGTTTTTGTTGTTTCATTTTGGGCTCTTCCTCACTCTCCCACCCAGCCTGTCTCACTGTTTTGGGTACTCAGTGACCCCTGAGTTTGCTCTGGTGCTGAGGTCCTTGTGTGTATGTGTGGGGGAAGGACACTCCCCTCTCAACCTACCTGTGCTGGAGACGCCGGCAATGTTGCTGGGCTCACTGATCAAATCCTGCATGACAGCCAGAACTCGGAACTCGTACCAAGTGTCCTAAAGCGCCCCCCCAAAGGACAATACCTTGTCAGCTGGTTGGCCACTGCTAACCCTGCCTCTGACCCGTCATGGAACAAGGGGGTTGGGATTAACAGAGATAGAGAGAAGAGAGGGAGAGAAGGAAAAAGGGGGGAGTTGTATCCAAACAGCCAAGCTTTGCTTCTCAGCTAGAGAGAAGTAAAGCTTTAAAGGAAACAGGCCAGAAGGTTTGACTCAAGAGTTCTCCCAGCCCTTCACCTTGTTACATGAGCATGATTCCAAAGGCAAACTCAATAAATTAAAGAGGGTACAAAGCGCTTCCCCCAGTTGTCTATGCTCATCCCAGGTCAGGCTCACAGCAAGGAAGTGGATTCCATTGTTTGGAATATTTCCAACTCCATACCAGATTGGGAATACAACTCCCCAGATTCATATGTGCTGGCCTCTCTAGCAGACTCTAAACTAACTTCCTTCAAGGCAACCTCCTCCCAAGTTCCTCTATGGACCAGATGAAAGTTGACTGCCCAGAACTTCAGTTGCCACCTCTTTAGTTCAAGATTTAGGGAACTGACTCAGAGAGAATAAAGTAACTATGTAATCCTGAAACTACAGCTTCCAAGTTGGGTCAAACAAAGCTACCAATGTTTCTGAGAAAGCACATGTCAACTCCACCAGAATATGGACAAAGAGGAGCTCCAGGTTATGTTAGCATCCCCACTGCCAGGCCTTGGACTAGTCTCACCTGTGACAAGTCTTTAGCAAAAAAGTCTCCATCAGTACCCAGAATCGCATCATCCAAGATCTCCCAGCGCTCTCCAATTCGGAACTCCATGATGTAGTGGTCAATGGGAAAGCTGTGGTTAGCGGGTGGGAGCCAGGATAGGAGTACACCCTGCTGGGTCCGATTGGCTGTGAGGCACCTTGGTGGGGTAACCAGCACCAGGGGTTCTGGAGTTGTGATAGGGAATGCTAGAATAGAAGGCAAAGAAAGGCAAGGGAAAGGGTCATAGGAAATACTGAGAGGTTAGCGCTCTCTCACCCGAATTCCTCTCGGTACCTTTCAACAATGTTTATATCCCATAGGGGTCATAGTATCAAAGTAAATCTAAAGACTTCTAATATCCCTGAATATTAAAGTCCCCAAAATTACATAAATTGGTTTTGGGGAAACAGGGGAACTTCACTGCAAATATTTCCTTTATATAAAGGAAGAATCTTGTCAGGACCACAGCTGTACCTTAAGGGTTCTGAAACTTAAAATATCGCACTTTCATATTGCTCTGGAGGTTCCATTTGAAAAAATATTATACCAGGAGGAAAAATGTAACCAGCATTTGTGAGAAGAAATAGGGAGAGAGCTAGTCCTAATGAAAATGTTTTGTTTTGTTTTTTTGGTTTTCTCCCAGAGAGACAAAAAGAGTTCCTAACATTCTCTTGTGAGCCTCATGGGTTCAGACCTTTCTTGGTACAGATGGAGAGAAGGAGACCCAGAGAGAAGAGCTATTCAGAGCTCTAGGCAAGTAAAGGATAGGCAAGCATCCTATCCCCTTAGCTTCCGTCCTTCCTACTGGCAGGATAATGAAGTCCTCTGGGGGTGAGGACATCTCTCGGAATGATCTGAACCACCTGCCCCACCCCCAGCAGAAGAGAATAGGATCACTCTCAGCTCCTTTTTGGCTTCCAGGGGAGAGAGAGAGAAAGAAAGCATCCCTCCAATTTCAGGCATGGAGGAAGAAGGCAGCAACTGGCCCTGCCTGGGAAGGGGTCATCCTTCATGTTGACATTTTTTGGGGTGACCCCAAAGAGAGGACTGGCCCCAGCTACTCAACAAGCAGTCCCTAGAGCCAAAAAACATGGTCAGAGGAGTAGCATTATGTTGGGAGAGGAGGAAGAAAAAAAAGGGCAGATTTCTCCTCTCGCCTCTGAAGCCAAAGGTGACCGTGGACCTGTGACCTAAGAGGAAGGAATCAAGCTCCACCCCTTTCCTTCCCATCTAATATGAGGTTCTCCAGAAGTTTGTTTCTAAGAAGCAATAGGCCTTTGGGTCACAAATTGGTTATATGCACCACAGGCCACTCACACAATGCAAAACCTGAAGGATGGTATAAAGACCTTGTAGCTCAGGCTGTTTTTGTCACTGTCCCCAGTTTCCAGGAGCTGCTCACCTAAAGTGTTCACAGTGACCACCTCGCTGAATGAGCTAGTGCCCAACTTGTTTTGTGCCAGGACACTGAACTGGTATGCTGTCTCAGGTTCCAAAGTGTCCACCAGTAGCCAGCTTGGTCCAGGCGGTACTGGTAGTGACAGCCAGTCATGAGGCCCAAACTGGGCCCTCTTCATCCTGGTCAAAGAGAAGGAAAGGAAGGAAATATAGGGAGGGGATAAAGGAAAAGGCTGATTACACTGGACCTGGTGGCTCCTGGGAGAGTTCTCAAGCAAGTGGCAGTGGGTGGGCCTGCATTACCTAAGCACAAAAAGAGATAATGGCCAGGGTGGGATGATTTGGCCAGTGAAAGCTGAGCCAGTCCTCATGATGTCTGATCACAAGGCAGCTTCCAGAGGTTAAGAGCCATTGATGTTCTACTTTCCAATGGAAAAGATTTCAAAGAGCAATTTGGTCCATGAGTCACTGGTCAAAGGCCCAGATCCTGGGAGTGGGGTGAGGAGTAGGGTACACAATTTCACCCTGGTGATACGGTGGCCCATCATGGGTGTGGTAAGAGTAAACAACACCGATTTTCTCAGGCTTTGCCTTTAGGGAAAGGAGGGTGGGCTATATGGAACAGGAAAAGCATCTAAGTGGAGGAAAGAACAATAAGGATGAGAAGTTACTGAACCAGGGGACCCAGGGACCCTAGTTCCTTGCCCCTTTGCAATCAGGCCAATCTCCCTCACAGGAAAAGAAGGGAAACCTAGGCTTAGATTCACTCAAGGACTACAGCAATTCTTAACCTGGACTCCATAGTCTATAAATGTCAAAGGGTGCATGGCCTTGGGTAAGATACCCCAAAAAAGACATCTTTATATCAATATTATTGGTTTCCTTTCTAATCCTATGTGTTTAATTTTTGTCACAGAAGAACATTATTCTGAGATGGGGGTCCATAGACTTCACCAGATGGCCAAAGGGTTCCATGACATAGAAAAAGTTAAGAACTCTTGGGTTAGTGTTTCCAACCAAGGCTCCCAAGTAAGGATTACTCTTCAACATCTCACGCCACCCCCAACTGTGGCAGAGATATCCGTGGGTTCTCCCACAGAGGCATTGATTCTGAGAAAAGGCATGGATTGCATACAAAATGCTGATGCTGAGGAGGGGATGGGGGAGGAGTTGGAGGACTGGCTTTCTCTCCTGTTCTTCTGGACTTTTGTCTTCTTTCTGCTGTCTCTCTGCCTAGTTTACATTCAAAGTCTAAAAGTGCGGTGTGATCATATCACCACAAGGAGGAGGCATTGTCCCACTCAACTAAAGGCTGAGTTTTGTCTGCAAATTGGCTTGTAGAAGGCAAACTACATCAGAGTGCCCTTCTGGACCAAAGGAACTACTACCCATCCTTCCTGGCAAAGGTGGGCAATGGCATTTTGAAAAAAAGACAGGAAGAAAGATGCCCTAAGTGTTCAAACAAGGGCATACAAGCAATGGGGGGTGATGGCACAAGGTGGGGAAGAAGGAGGGGAACGCTAGGGTGGAAGAGAGAAAGGAGAGGTGCGCTCTACCTCCCGCTCACCCAGGGCACCGAAGCACGTTAGAATGGCAGAAAGTACATGGAGCAGAGCTACAAGCAGCAAGGGGACCCCCCCCCAAGGCATTCCCAGAGTTTCCCCCATCACCCTGTATCTTCATTACTAGGTACAGAAGCCAGGCCAACTAACAGCTTCTTCCCTAGACCCACAATCTCAATAGTTCTGTGACTTTGCAGATGTCACTAAGCAGTTCCCAGAAGATTCAGCCTTTGCTGCTTCTTCCCCTTTAAGACTATTCACCATAGGGGCAGCTAGGTGGCGCAGTGGATAGAGCACCAGCCCTTGATTCAGGAGGAGCTGAGTTCAACTTTGGCCTCAGACATATAACACTTATTAGCTGTGTGACCCTGGGCAAGTCACTTAACCCCATTGCCTAGCCAAAAAAAAAAAAAAGAATATTCGCCAAAGGATGGTTTACCCCCTCCCTAAAAGCCACTACCTTCAGGGTTATTGTGAAGATCAATTGAGTAAACATGCAAAGTGCTTTGCAAACTCTAAAGCATTATGTAAATAGCATTATTATCATTATCATCATCATTATTTCAGGGGACCACAAAGACAACACAAAATAGTCCCGGCCTTAACTTTTGACCTACCTCCAATTACTGTAATTCCTTTTAGTTTCTCCAGCAGGCTGTGGAAGAGGCAAGGAAGCAAAAAAATCCCAAAACGGCCCTGCCCTTCCAAGCTGATCATATTCCAAATAATACTTAATGGGGCAGGGGACAAGCTAGGGCCAAGAAGACGTATGGAACAGAGAAATAGGGTTTGGTTTATTAACAGACCCTGTCCGTACCCCCTGCCTTCCCTGAGACCTCTAGGGCCCTCTTGGGCAGCCAGAGTTATAGGTTAGCAAGTGAGGTTCAGCAGGAAGGAGGCCTCCACTGAGCTCACCAGATGTCAATATTTATCCTCCATTGTAATATAACTGGTTTCATAAGCTCCTAGAGGTTGGAAGGGGGAATGCTATCCTGTTAACTATTCTCCCCACTGCCACCACTTAAAACAAAAGTACAGATAGGAACCGTGACAAAGAATGAAAGGTGCTGGTATCCCAAACCTTGAATCCAAGTGGAGGGAATACCCAAATCAGAAGGAAGGAAATAAAAGAACACAGTGCCTGTTAACCAGTATCAGGAGTAAGTGGGTCCTTGATACACTGGTGATAGCAATGGCCCACTTGGTAGAAGCAGAGGAATTGGAGAACCAGGCAACCTTGCAAACGAATAGAAATAGAGTCTGGGGAGTTTCCATCAAGTCATATTACCAGCTGTCTCTTTCTCTTTTTACCAGGAAGCATCAAAGGATTTTTCTTTGCCCTACCCAGACTCCCCTCCACCAGTTCCTGCCTATATCCAAGCCAGGCATGGAAAAGAAGGCATTGGTAGTTTTCACTAAGGTGAAACATGTCCAAGCAAAAGAAAGCAGGGAGGCTTTGCTCTTCCTGTTCAAAGATACCATCCATGCAAGTTTCTGGGGCTCTTCACACAGGATGGGTGGAAGGGAGAATAGGGTGGAAAGGAGGTAGTCAATGAGGGAGAAAAAGGTCCATTGCTAGTGATGTTTTGCTCTCCGTTCCATCCCTACCCATCCATCTACCCACCCACCCACCATAACTAGGTTGTCTACATCCCTGCATCTGGTGAAGTTCAGTGAAGAGACAAAAAACAAAGGTGTGAAATACCAAGGACCCAGAAAAAAAAAAACAGGCCTAAATCTGAAGCCAGGAAGGTGACAGTCACCTCTCCTAGAGCTACTCAGAAAGGGGCAGAATAGGAATCAGGCTCTATGCCTTGGGCTTGGTCATCTCCCCAAAGTCCTAAGCATCTCTGGTGGTGCCATGTCCTACCCACCCACCCCCAGTCAGTGGGACAGATGCCTGAAAGGAAAGAGAGCCAAGAAGGGAGAATAGGTAGTAAGATGAGCCAGGGAGTTCGCAGCAAAGATGATCTTCTGGGCAATTCATGCTAAAGTCTAAATGTATCCCCCCAAGGTCCCTCCAACCCCAAAGAGTAGAGCTTAAGGGATGCTCTTAGTATCTGTCTCAGCCCCCAAGATTCATCCCACTTGTTTACCCCACCCTCTTCACCACCTTGGGGGCTCTCAGTCCAAAGATTCCCTCCCCTTGTTTTGCTATTCACTATCCACCCCAGGGTAATGGTTGAAGTCAGGAGGGAAAAGCAGAGCAAAGCATGCGGGGGTGACTCACAGAGGGCCGTACCAAACTGAGAATGTCTGATCGTAGCCGCCATCATAGCCTGGCTCCCAGGACACATTGGCAGTCGTCATGGAGACAAGGACCCGAACACTGCTGGGGGCATGAGGGCTGGTGCCTGAAGACAAAATGCAAAAGAAAACCCACAGCTGAAATGATCTGAAACAGATTGGGCTGGCCCTCAAGATAGGGAAGCTCCCCCCAAAACCCAAAAGAGGTTGAAAAGTACAGTAGCTGAGCGGAGCACATCTTCCTGCCTCATAACCTTACTGATTAGCCTAAGAGGATGGGCAAACCGAGGGTCCCCAAGAGTAAAGTACCATCCATTGCCTGCAGGAGGCACTATGGAGACAAGAGACAGGATATCACAAGTTGGAGCAGAACAAAACGCTTAGCTCTCAGATGAACTCCCTGTGAGCTAAGTTAGAGAAGATAGAGGAAGCGTCCCCTTAAAACAGGGCTATAGCCAGGGCCAGAGGGCTATTGCATTTCACAGATGCTGGTGACCTGTAAAGAAAATGTCACTCCTCTGGGAGGGGTTGTCTGGCCTCCCATGTGGGCTAAATAGATACATTCTGTCATTATATAAGCCTCTAACCCAGTAAACCCCCAAAGAGTCAGAGCAACACTGATGCAGGGACCCGAGGTTCTGCAGATATGAACACTCAAGGTGAAAAGTGGCTACCTGCTGCCTTCTTCTCCTTTTCCTGATTCCTTCACCCTCAACACTCTCCATCATGTCATCTTCTCTTTTTCAACCTGCCTCTTAGGCTGGACCCTTCAAACCTTAACTGAGCACTCTTTTCCTCCAGTGCCTTTTTAAACTAATATCAGTTATTCCAATCACTTCAATTTCCCCTTTCAGTGCTTAAGTACGTAGCCCTGAAGAACTGCATAAATGTCTATATCCAATCTCTCCTCATTCTTCAGCAGAGTCCAACAGAACGCACGGAGCCCTCAGCACAAGGTATGGCCCTGACCTAGATCACAGGGCCCCCAGAGGGCAGAGATCAGATCTAGGTAACTTGCTCCGTACAGCAAATAAGGAATGGAGAATGTAAATGTTAAAACTTCTCTTGGGCTTCTCTTCAGGCTGTTTTCTATTTTCTGCTCTACCCCTGCCCCACCCCAATGCCCCGTTGCCACATCTCCCAGGCGTACCAATGACTGTGAGGTGTGTACTGGCAGTGATGCTGGTGACCACATTGGTGGCAATGCACTCCCACTCTCCATGGTCCTCCTTGCTCAGGGCACGGAATTGAAGACTCCCACTGGGCAGGGCATTGTGCTTGCTTCTGCTGGGTTTCCCTACCTTGGGCAAACAAGGGGGCAAGGAGAAGGGCAAAGGGAGGAGGAAAAATAGGGAAGGTGGAAAGAAGCCACCAACATCTCAGGAGCCCATGAAGGCACACAACGGCTAGTACCTAAAGACCCACCCTATATACCTCCCTTGCTCCCTACAAGAGTACCCAAGACACAAGACATGCCAGGACCCCTGCCTCTTGTCTCCTGCCCACTCCAACTAAGAATCTATGTAATTAAGAGTTGTCAATTTCATAGATTATATGCTAGGATACTGAGCCTCCCTGTAAGGCCAAGTCAATCTCCCCCAAATACGGTTCCCTGGACACTGGAAGTACCTTTCTCCAGGTGATGACAGGGAAGGGGTCTCCTGCTGCAGCACAGGGAATGAGCAACTCCCTGCCAGCCTCCTGCCTATATTCCCAGCCTGGTAGCACCGTAAAGTAGGGGGGATCCTTAGAAGAAAAGTGCATATATACATGAGCACGTATTCACCCAGAGAAGCATACTCCTACATATAAACGCACACATATGTGCAAAGACATGTTCTGCATACAGTTCTCTGCCTGGTACCTCACCTTCAGGACAAGCCGCGCAGGAGCAGACTGGCCCATTGTCCCCAAGGTGTTGTAAGGCACACAGGTATAAGTGCCGAGAGCCTCCTCCGTTGCCTCTTCAATGCGGATAGAGCCATCCTCCATCAGGGTCCAACCCAGGTTCTATCAAAGCATAAACAAGAGGATCAATGGAGAGCCAGGCCAACAATCACTCAGCCCCCTAAGTCTTTGTCCAGGTTCTCATCCTTGGCTCAAGGGCAGAAGATGAGCAGTCAAACTAAGTATCGAAAGTCTGCTGTTTCCAGACTACTGGCCTAGGATCTATAAGGGGATAAAAGAGAAACAGAAGACGGAATCCATGCCCTGGAAGAGATCAATACTTCCTGCTTGTCCTCATCCACAGAAAGCAGAATGATGGGAAGACAGAGACCAACAGACCCAAGCCAAGCACGATATGGAAGTTTATGGATCCCTTCCCAGGGAAGCTTCCTGTTACCTTCTCAATCTGCAAGGGACGGCCATCTTTATTCCATTTGACCAGGGTGGCAGGTGGCTCAGCATCTACGGGGCAGCGGATGTAACCGTGTATTCCCACCGGCACATATATAACTGGTGGCATGTTGAGGACACGGGCTGGGTCTGTATAGGGGCAGGAAGGAGAGGGAGAGAGAGAGGGGAGGGAAACAATAAAGGTAGGAACCCAAATAACTGAAAATCATGGTATTCTTGTTCCTTCTTCCCTTCCCACCTCCATTGCAGCCAGGGTCCCCCAGAAATAACCTCGACCAGAAAGAAGCACTGGTCTTCCGAGACGATTCTCCTCTTGCTTTCAGAGCCCTGCAGCTTATCATAACTTAACTATGACCTTCTCTATCCCTGACCATAAATGTTTTCCAAGTTCACATCTTCCCCTCTAAGCAAAAAGAGTGACACCCAGGTGGAAAGCCTATTCTAGCTATAAAGTATCAGTGCCCAAGAACTCATCTATGCTTTCTCCTCTTCCACCCCTCTCAGCTTCCTAACATCTGTGTGACTCAGTCTACCCATGCCACAGCAGGTGCCCGCATAGAATAAGCTTTTATGGCTCTTCTATTGAAAAAAAACACAAGACAGACAGCATGAGATGACAACAGAGATTCAGCTACATCCTTGGGGAGAGAGATTTAATCTGATACTCTCTATGGTACAGGGTGAGTCACTGCCCTCTTAATGTGCCCCAAAAGAAAAGCTGGGAAGAACAAGCCTTCATTCCTGGGTAGGCAGTAAAGATCAATGAGCTGGCATCTTCAATGTGCTCTGAGCCCTTCAGACAAGCAGCATTACATAAATACCAGGCCAAGTTACAGATTTAGAGGTAGATTCCTACTTTTATATGATAGGTGGTTTTTTTCTCTCTTCAAGGTTTTCAAAAGGACTTATGAATGGGAAAGTACTCTGAATACTGCCATTTAGCAGAAATAAAGATCCTTGTCTCACCCACCCATAAATCTCAATTCCCTAGATTTTCTCTGAAGCCCGGAAGAGGAAAGAAATACAAGCAAAGACTGGGGCCAGTGGAGAGGTGGGAGGAAGAAGTTAGCTCTGAGTTGAGCAATGCCTGAAGGTCGGAGGATGGGGACTTTAAAAGACATTTTTTCAGAGAAATCTTACATACTCAGGGTTGGAAGAGATCATTGGTCCAACCTGACCCTGTACAGGAATCCCCTTAATGGCAAGTGGTCATAGCTGTCTTGGTCATCACCTAGAGGACACCCAGGTGACACACTCAGTTGTGAGTGGAAGCAATTTCCTCCTGAATGAAGAACTCCCATTCATTCATTTCCTATTGAATTGGGGTGGGACCATTAGGAATGAAGAACACCTCTGGGGGCTGGGCTGCACCAACTTCCCAGAGTTGTTTCATTTTTTTTCCCCTTTAGAATTGTCTAAGAATCTCTACTATTTTAGGGAATGACAGTACTCTGTTCTAGGTTTCTAGTTCTTTATATACAACTAGGCGGCAAAGTAGGTGCACTAAGTCCTGGAGTCAGGAAGACCTGAATTCAAATCCAGCCTCAGACATTGAGTAACTGGGTAAATCACTTAACTATTAGCTATCTGCCTCAGTTTCCTCCTCTATAAAAATGGGGATAATAATAGCACCTACCTCCCAAGGTTGTTGTGAGAATACAGTGAAATAATATCTATAAAGTACTCAGTAAGACTCAAAACACTCTATAAATACTAGCTATCATTATTGTTATTATGTATCTCTATCACCCCAACCATACTGTAAGCACTGTGAAACATCCTGTCTTCTACTTCAATTGTATCCTCCAAAGGACCTCTGTGCTGGGCGTATAGTAACTACTTTATATAAATGATTTGTTGGCCTGACTTGGTCTACCATAGATTTTCAGTGGAAGACCTCTGATGACCTCCACCACTACTTACTTTCCCCTGAGCCTCTCAGATCTTTTAAAGTCTGGGAATCTTTCCTAATATGCCTACGGTAATCCAGAGTCGCTACTGTAACACAAGTTTTCTTATGCAGCAAAGATAAAGGAGTAATAGGGCCCCTCCTCCCTCAACATAAGCATCCCAGAACTAAAGACAGTTAGAATGTCAAGTTGGGGATCCTATCAGGGAGAGTTGGGAGTCCCACTGAGGACAATAGAATGGGAAAAACAGAATACTGAACACCCAGCAGAACAGAGATTTTGTCACTGCCTGTTTTCCCCATCTCCAGATCCCATTCCTAACATCACGGTTTCACACCACACCACCACCACCACCACCACCACCAATCCAATCTGGCTTTCTAAGGTGTGAGCCATTCCCCAAGACAGTCAGCAAGAAACAGATTTTGCCACCAGCGACAACAATATGGCAGAGCTTTTGTTGCCTGTCTTGTGACGGGGACTTGCACAAGTCAAAAGGAAGGAATTAATCCTCATTAGTCATTATTCTCTTCCCTTTTCACAGTCCCAGCTTGCCAGAGGGGGGAGAAGGTAATGACAATAAGCCACTGAATCATTGCCTACTAGCATGCTGAGTTATCATCCACCTCACAGGACTCACAGAGGCAGAGAATCTCAGAGTGAGAAGAGTCCTCAAAAGCCATCTGAGCCAGAAGCTTCTCCATAGCATCTGCAGCAAGTGGGTCACCCAACCTTCACTTGAAAGCCTTGAGTGAGGTTTAACTACCTCCCAAAGCAGTCCATTCCACTTCTGGATAGCTCTAATTGTTAGCAAGTCTTTTCTTACATAGAGTTAAATTCTGTCTCCCTCTGCCCTCGATGTTTTAGTTCTACCCTCTGGAGCCATGTAGTTTATTCTTCTTCCATATGAGGGCTTTTCAAATACTTGAAGGTAGTTATTGTACTCAGCCTTTTTCCCCAGCTCCTCTCCAAAGAAGCTGCAGCGTGAGCAGCTGCCACACCCATGTAAAACCATCCTGGCAGACAGGCTAACCCAGGTTGAGGGTAATTGACGGCACTCAAATCCATCAGTGAGTTAGGAAGATGTCTAACCCAAGCATGTGACAACTTCTCCCCTCCCCCCATGGGGAGATGAGAACAATTTGTTCCAAGGGCATGGCCAAAGCAGAGCTTGGTCATCCGCTGCACCCCAAGACATGCCCAGTCATCCTGACTGGTGTCTTCACTGGACTTTGATGACTCTAGAAGAGACAGTGAGGCTGATGACTTTGTGCAACTCTACCTCTCTTAAATCCAATTCATGCAGGAGTGAAGACATAACCCCCATGACGTCATTGGTCCTCTTTGAGAGCAAAGGACAAACAACAGCAACTACTCTAAGCCAAACAGGGTTCTATTTCCTTTACCCATTCTCAAGTAGCATGATCTTGAGGCCATTCTCCATCATAATGACCTTTTTTTTGTGGGCCCTCTAGCTTATCAATGCCCTTCCTAACATATAGTCAGTCAATAAATGCTTATTAAGCACTTACGACAAGCCAAGCATTGTGCTAAGTGCTAGGGATACAAAGAAAGGTGAAAAGAGGCCCTGACCTCAGGAAGCTCACATTCTAATCAGAGAGACAACAAATGTGATGCCAGGAATTGAAGGCAATAGACCAATTGTGATCTGACCGTGGCAGAGTATGGTGAGACTATAGAGCTAACTGCCTGGGGAGTCAAGAACATCTGGGTTTGGGGCAGCTAGGTAGCACAGTAAATAGAGCACCGGCCCTGGATTCAGGAGAACCTGAGTTCAAATCAGGCCTCAGACACATAACGCTTACTAACCATGTGACCCTGGGCAAGTCACTTAAACCCATTGCCCAGCAAAAAAAAAAAAAAAAAGAAATACCTGGGTTTAAATCCTGCTTGACCTTGGGAAAGTCACTTAACCTCATTGGACCTCATTCTCCTCATTTGTAAAATGGAGAAGTTAATATGGATTGAGTCTGAGGGCATTTCTAGTTCTCTATGACCTAACTTCCTCATTAAGGACACTAGGCCTCTCTTTATCACACTGTTGATTCATTGAGCTTTCAGTCCACTAAAAATCCTACATCTTTTTCAGACAAACTACCATCTAGATGTACCTTCCTAATTTCCTACTCATGGAAAAGGTTTTATGAACCCAAATTTAATACTTTATATTTAATCCAATTAAATTTCTATTTATTGGATTTAGCCCAAAGTTCAGAACTGTCAAGATCTTTCTAGATACTGATTATCATCCAGCTTGCTGGCCGTGACTCCCAACTTTGTCTCATCTGTGAAGTTTTGGAGCATGTCATCTATATCCAAGTCATTGATGAAAAAAAAAATACTGAACAGCAACACTAGACTGTTCTGGCCTGGGAGAGGGGGAGCAGCTCATGGCCTAGATACAAACAGCCTAGGGGAAAAAACAGAGAGGAGCTGAGGTAGATTCATCTTTGGGAAGATTTTTCTCCCCTCACCACCCTACTTTCTGGCTTAAGGAAATCTTAGTTGACAGTCATGGGTAAAACAAAGGACATGGTTGGCAGAAGGTAATAAAGAGATGTCCTAAGTTCTGATCCTACACTCCCTCAGAGACCTGAGGCCAAACCTTCTGTAAGAAGCATCAAAATGGCAACATGTTCAAGGTGGAGAGGTGCCAGTTGGCACACAATTCCAGGGAAGTTGTCTCAATGCCAGCAAGGCCTAGGTTGTGGGCTGGAGTGGAGTGGGGCCTTGTTTCTCCTTAAGTCCTTCTCAGGTTTGGCCATTATCCAGCCAGGTTCCTGGGGAAGCTCACCCAGCACTAGGAAAAGGCTCATCTCAATGAAAAGTGGTAAGTAAAGTACCAAGGACAGTCCTAATTGGCTCTGGAATCACGAAGACCTGGGTTCAAATCCTTCGTGATCTTGGGAAAGTCCATCTATGAGGTTGCCTCTCACTTGAGTGAAGGACTCCAGTGTAAGGAGAGATCAGGGACAGTTTACCTCTCCTTGAGTTCTGATTTCTCAGTTCTTGACCTGCCTTATCATTCCTACATAAGATTCCAATTTGATCCCTGATAACTTTTCAAGTCACTCACCTCTCAAGTGAGCACTCAGTTTTCTCATCTGTAAAATGAGAGGCTAGAGGCAACTAGGTGATATAGTGGATAGAGCACCGACCTTGAAGTCAGGAGGCCCTGAGTTCAAATCCGGCCTCAGACCAAACACTTGACACTTACTAGCTATGTGACCCTGGGCAAGTCACTCAACCCCAACTGCCTAAAAAAAATAAAATAAAATAAAATGAGAGGCTAGACTCTAAAGCTATAATCCTATGATCCTTCTGACCTCAGGTCTGACTGTCATCTATCACCAAAACATCCACAAAATCCCTGGGCAGAAAGAAACCCAGTCATCCTTTTTACCCCGACCTCAGCTCCCCTTCTTCCACCTCTACTCACACTGCACTGTCAGGTAAGCTGAGGCTGAGGGGGAACGGCCCAGACTGTTGCTAGGGACACAGGTATACTTTCCCGCATCCTCTGGCTTCACCCGGAAGATGATCAATGTTCCATCAATTAGGATTCGTACTCTGAGCTTTAGGTCACTGTGGGACATGTAGGGAAGCAAAGAAAGATGGGAACCTTGTTAGAACATAGAGTTTGTGGAGCCTCCATGTGACCCAGAAAAGAGTTATAGTGACCCTGTCCTAGCAAGCATGAACAAGAAACCTAGGACCATCCCATAGCATGGAATACAAGGCATCTTAAAATAGATGCTCTTTCAACTCTAGTAAGGCTTCTCTGCTCCCCCCAGCATAAGACACTGGACATCCCCACCTCTTGTTTCAGCTCACAGGGATGGTAGTACCCACCCCTCAATATCAGAGTCTCTCTGAGTAAAAGAATGAAGAATAGCCAAAGCTCCCAGGACACTGCCAGGCAGACTCGACATGGGGACCCTAGTGATTCACTACCTAGGGGATAACCCTTGTATGAGTAAATAGAGTGGGCAGGCCAGGGAGGCAGGCAGGGACAGTGGCAATGCCAGTCAGGTACACTCACTTCTGGAAGTAGACGTTTTCATCCTGCCAGTACCAGGTGTAGGTTAGGTTGCCGGGATACGCCTCAGCCCGGCAGGTGAGCAATGCATCCTGGGATATGTTGACAGTGATGTTCTCTGGAGGGGAAACAATGAAGGGAGGTCCTATGGGAGTAGAAGAAACAAACAATTACTTCACCTTCAGGGAGAGACCGAGGGACAGAGGCTACAGAGGAAGCCCAGCTCCTCAGGAAAGGCTATCCTGAGCTCTATGAGAGACTGATGTCCTATACCCAAGGGACAGAATCCCACAGTTTGATGGTTGCCACGGAGATTCTGGAAGATGCTTCTGTATGGTTAGGCTCTTACTCCCTCACCAGGTCTCAGAGAAAGGAAAGGGCTCAGGAAGCATCCTGGAGACTACCCCAATTACTCCAACCCCAATGACTCAGTCCCAAATAGACTATTTTTTTTTCACCAGTAGGCAGTCTCTATTGCACCAATCTGCCTGGCATGTAGTAAGCACTTAATAAATGCATGCTGACTTGACTTGACAACCATCTGCATCTCAGTCCCCTTCTGGACAGTCCCTCCTCCCCAGCTGAGCCCTTAGAGTCAGAGGAGAGGGCTGGGAAAGAGAAAAAGCACTCTTTAAAACTGGAGCAAGGAATAAGCTTGCTTCTGGAAGACTAAGAAGCTTTTGCTTCTCTTCAACCAGCTGTTCAGTGGGGGGGGGGGGCGGGAGCAAAATTAAAAAGAAGGAGGTGGGGAGAAAAATCAGAGAGAAGAAAGCCCATCAAACTCCAGCCTAGCCAAGTCCCTGCCTGACCTTCCTACTTTCAGTAAGCACAAAGACCTCAGTCAGTTAGCTGACTTTCTCCTCCCCAGAGAAGGGGGACACGTTCATCAGAGATGCAAAGGGACCTCCAACCCTTCTCCGCAGATCAATATTGTATCTCCCAGGAGATCCGCTCTAAGACATGAAGCAGGAAGAGAAGCAGCCTTGGTAGTTCCTTTCACCCAGTCCCAGGTCTGCTGTGGCAGCACAGACCGTGGTGGCAGACAGGGGCATTTAATGAGGATAAGATGAGAACTGTCCTGACCCTCCACTTCTACCCCTGCCCCCCCCACACACACACCCCTCTTGGACAATCAATCAACAAGCATTTTTAAGTGTCTACTGTGTGCCAGGCGCCCTACTGGGGTGCCCTCAGTCCCTGTTCAGGAAGAAACAGAAAATTCTAGTCCTGACTCTGCAGACTCCGGCTGGGCCAAATGCCCTTAATGTTATTTAAATGTCTGGGGTTTGGATCAAATTCCTATCTTTATTTATTGACATCATCACTAATGGATGGCCTGAAGGAGGTCTCCTCTCCTGGGGAGGGACTCTGTTATCCATAGACTAAGACAGAGATGCAGCAAAGACTTTCCTTCCATGCATGAGGCACAGTAGAGAGAGCACTGGGATGATCTGAGTTCAAATCCCACCTCAGACACTTATGAGCTATGTAACCTTGGGCAAGTCGTTTAATCTCTGTTTTGCCTCCATCTTATCATCTGTAAAATGGGGATAATAATAAAATCTACCTCCCAGGGTTGTTGTGAGGATCTAATGAGATAACAATTGTAAAGCACTTAGCATAGTGCCTGGCACATAGTAAGCACTATGGAATATGTTAGTTGTTATTGTTATTATGATTATTATTACTATACCTATATGATACCCACAGGGGTCTGAGGCTGGCATACTGCCCTATATGTCACTATGAGTGTTCTGACTAGGGGTCCAGGTATCCTCTGCCCAGCTCATCCTGAGTCATATACCTACCACCACCCCTCCACCCTGGCCTTTCTACTCATGTTCTAGCTAGTATTTACCCTGGGGGTGACCAAGAAGAAGATATGGGAAAATATCTACAAAAATATCTCTTACCTTGGACAAGCAGGTGGGTGGTATGGACAGCTTCTCCTTGTATGCTATATGCTCGACAGGTGTAAGCACCTCTGTCATCCCGACTGACAGATGTCACTGTCAGGCTCCCATCACTCACCTGAAGGAGGGAAAGGGGAAAGGGAGAAAGAACAGACAGAGTTTAGAATCTGCCCATAGAGAGACCACAGCATCAGCTGGCTACAGTTTGGGCGGTCCCAGGGTGACATGAGGGGCAGCTAGCTGATGCAATGCACAGAGCACCAGGCCTGGAGTCAGGAAGACTCATCTTTCTGAGTTCAAACCCAGCCTCAAACACTTACTAGCTGTGTGACCCTGGACAAGTCACTTCACCCTGTTTGCCTCAGTTTCCTCATCCGTAAAATGAGATAGAGAAGGAAATGGCAAACCACTCCCAGTATCTCTGCCAAGAAAACCCCAAATAGGGACACAAAGAGTAGGGCATGACTGAAATTACTGAACAACAACAAAGGGTGACAGTCATGGCATTCTAGTCTTAGAGCCAAGGGAGCCAGATTCAAATCTACTCCCCAGTACTTAATAACTGTGCAACCTTGAGCAAATTATTTAACCTTCCTGAGCCTCAGTATCCACATCTGTAAATGGGTTTAGTAATATTTTCAATTAGTTCACAAAGTTGTTGTAAGTAAAGGGAATAGAGATATAAGCTAATCCTGGTATTTTATTAGAATAGGAAACAGCAGGGTGAGGAAATTCCCTCTAACGACGTAAATCATCTCCTTTTCTGCAACTTATACTCAGAGAGTTATGTAAAACATTTTGAGGTCAAGTGACATGCCCAGTGTCACACAGCCAGACATGTCTGATATGGAACTTGAACTCAAGTCTTCCTGGCTTTGATGGCAGCTCCCAGCCCTCTGTGCCACACTGCCCCTGTAATTCCTATAGAAGTTTTAAAGCATTATCTGTGAACATGAGTTATTGTTGTGGGCCAGAGTAGCAAGTTTCCTTATTTCTCCTTACTCTCCAGAGCTGCCCTCCACTTTCTTCTATGAAAACCATTATTCCTCCTCTACCTTTACAACCCAGCTTAAAATCCCCCTCCTCCAGGAACCTTCTCTGACTGACCATCTCTTTAATCTGCATATTCTCCAGCAGCTACACCTAAATTGGGCAGAACAAGAGACTGTCTCTGAGAGCAAAATACATAGGGAAACAGGGCAGCTAGGTGGTGCAGTGGATAGAGCGCTGGCCCTGGAGTCAGGAGGATCTGAGTTCAAATCTGGCCTCAGACATGTGCTAGCTGTGTGACCCTGTATAAGTCACTTAACCCTCAATTGCCTACAAAAAAATACATAGGAAAACACAGAGCAGGCAGGCTGACTTCAACTTGGCCAACTTGGATCTCTGATAAAATGAGATTTGAAAAGTATTTATAGTGGGAAAATCCCATTAGGACAGGATTTGTATTTTTTCCTCAGGACATGGGCAGTAGATCTTTGATGACTCATGGATAGGCCAATTATATTAAGGATGTAAACCAATCATTGATTGTTCTTCCCAGGGAAGGGTGTGTCAGAAGGGGAAGAGAAAGGGATGTATGAGTCTGAGAGAAAGAAGAGCCTGGAAAGAGGCCTGCCTGATGGAAAGAGGACAGCTATCCTAGATTATGTCCATCCAAAATGGTTACTGCCTGTCCTGGGGTCCCATGGCTGAGTCCCAGAGATAATTCAAAACACAGAAAGTTAGCCTATAAAAATTAGAAAGGTTTTACTAGTTATGTAAACTTAAGGTACTCTTGAGAATTTTGTTCATATGTGTGTGTGTGTATGTACATATAATATACATATATTATGTATGTGTACATACACACAGAGGGAGAGAAAGAACCATGTATAGTGGTATATGGATATGTATGGCACATATATTTATATAATAAATGAATTATAAATTCATGAACTTATATAAATTTACATAATAAATAAAGAGAAGTTTTTATTCCTCCTTTGTGAATATGAAATTTGGAGAAAGAGATCCTGGGTTCAAATTACAGTTCTGTTGCTTATTATCTGTGACTTTGAGCAATTCATTTCACTTTCAGATGCCTCAGTTTCCTTCTCTGTAAAATAAGGGGGATGGATGAGATGATCTCTAAGGTCCCTTTCAGCTCTAAATCCTAAAATCCTTTGATAAGTCAAAATTCTAGCTAAAATCAATTGTAACTTGGGGTTTAGGACAGACACAGAGGGACAAATTTCAAAGTCTAGGGATAGTTGCTGAGAAGTCTGAAGTACAGTGAGATGCTTTGAGCTCAGAACTAGGCTGATTGAGTCCTTGAATGAAAGACTGCAAGGTTACACACTCAGACACAGAATGAGTCGGATGATTGTTGGTTCACTGTGGTAAAAGAGCTGCGGTTTCATGTAGCTGTCAACCCAGAAGTTACCACTTACCTGGAATTTCCCACTGGCCCCAAGGAGGGTCCCTTCCTTGAGCCAAGTGACAATGGGCTTTGGGTTCCCAAAGGCTGTGCAAGTCAAGGTGATGCTGCCACCTTCCTTAGCCTCGATGTACTGAGGGGGTGTCTCCGTGAAGGTAGGGGGTGCTGAAAGGGAGACAAAGGAAGGAGGGACAAAATGAGATACACTTGCAGAGTCCTTCCAACCCCATGCCATGAGAGAAGCTTAGCACAGATCATGATTCCTGTCCATAATTATATAAAGAATCATAGATCCAAAACTGGAAAGGCCTTGGCAGCCATCTAGTCTAACTCCTCATTTTACAGATGAGTAAACTAAGTCCTAAGGATATGAAATGTCTTGTCCAAAGTCAAGGTAATAAGCACCCAGACTACTACGACATGCTTTATTCAGATGTCGCATATAATCAAAAGCCTTTTCCCCTATAATAATGAATAGCTAATACTTGCATAGTGCTTTAAGATTTGCAAAGGGTTTTATGTATATTATCATATTTGATCTTCCAAAATGCAGTAAAGTCAGCCAGGTGGCGCAGTGGACAGAGTGCAGGCCCTGAAGTCAGGGGGACTCATCTTCCTGAATTCAAATCAGGCCTCAGGTGCTTACTAGCTGTGTGACCCTGGGCAAGTCACTTAACCCTGTTTGCCTCAGTTTCCTCATCTATAGAATGTCTGGAGGGGAAGGAAATGCCAAGAAAATCTCAAATTAGGTTATGGAGGGTCAGACATGATTAAAGTGACTGAATGACAACAAAAATGCATTTTAGAAATAAAGAAGTTGAGGTTGAGAAAAGGTAAGTGACATATACGTCCAAGGTCACAGAGCAGAGGCAGGATTCAAATTCAGCTACCTCTCTAAAACTGAATCTCATAATATGTACATATTCATAACTAGGGATAGTCTGGCAAATGTTTAACAACCAGCTTTCTGGGGAAGGAAAATGTCTGCGTTATTAACATTTTCTCCATCACCTTCTTGAGGCAGCTAAGCAATGCAGAAGAAAGAGCGCTGGGCCTGGAGTCAGAAAGAGCTAAGTGAACATCTAGCCTCAGACACTTACTAGCCGGATGACCCTGGGCACATCAGTTTCCTCAACTGTAAAATGCGGATAATAATAACATCTACTTCCCAGGGTTATTGTGAAAATCAAATGAGAAAACATTTGTAAATCATTTACATGCATTTTAATGTATGTACTTACATATATTAAATGCCTACTATGTCTAACACATAGTAGGCATTTAATAAATGCTTGTTCTCTCTCCCTTCCCTTGTCTGAACAAACATCAAAACAATAAATCAAGCCCTGATGTATACTGTTTATTGATGTCTGAGGTATAAGTGATCACACTGAAAATTTAATGATCGGCTCTCCTAAGCTGGTATAAGCTGACTCCAGCCACCCCTCTCACCCACACCCACCCCCTAGATATCCCTAGATCAATGATACCCTCACACTTCCAATCTGGAAGGCCCTGAAACAGATCTCCATCTCCTTAAAGCACAGGTGAGGGGCTACGTTCCAACCATGGTGTTCAAAAGACAACACATGTCTCTTTCCCTCTCTAGCTGCCACCACAGAGGTAGAGACTCCACTGTCTAAGATGACCCTTTGCCCCTTACAAATTCTCTGATCGCTCCAGATCCTGCTCTCAGTATCCCCTCCTCCTCCTTTACTTTTCAATTTTGATGAAAACTCCATCCTGTTTGGATAATCCCGCTTTTGAGAGACTCAGTCTCATTTGCCTGAGCTGCTTGAAACAGTAATCCAGTCAATCGCAAACCATTAGGCTATCTGACCAGCCCCTTTCTGAGGAGATCTGCATAGCCGCCACCCCTGACTAGCAGCCCCAAGGGAATGGTGCTTGGGCCACATTTCTCCAGCTACTGAACTTGCCAACAAGAAAAAGTTGGCCCCACGGGTAGCCAACCACGTGGCACCAGTTTGGGACAAACTCATAAAAGTCAAGACCACAGTGCCTAAAATCAGGATCCACTAGGCCCAGAGACCTCTACTAGGCATCCTCTGAAGCTGTTCCCTGGACATCTATGATAACATTCTTTCCTCATTGGCCTTCCATAGGTAGAGAATATGTTCTCATGCACATTCAATCAAACAACAAGCATTTATTAGACATCCTGCTTTGTGCTAGGTCCTGGGGAATCAAAGTTGAAAATAAAGCAGGCACTGATCTGAAAGAGTTTAGTGGGGAGAGGGACTACATCTGTGACTTCACTAGCATAAGGAACCCCCAAAGGAGGAAACTCCCTCTTCTAACAGACACCAGTTGGCTCCTCTGCCACACAAAGTCTTAAGAGTTGCCTAGGGCAGCAAGAGGCTAAGTGACTTGCACACAGTCAGGATGTGTCAGAGATAGAAAATGAGCTCACATCTTCCTGGCTCTAAGGCCTGCCCCTCTATCCATTATGCAACACTGCCTCTTAAGGACTTGAAATTCTGTCTACACTCACAACTGTGTAAGCAAAGTCAAAGGACATAGTTTCCAGTTCTTCTTTAGGTCTCAAAGCACCTGCCACAATGCTGGGTAAACAGGAAGCACTTAATTAGTGCTCTCCTTCAACCTTCATAGCCAATAAGCCGCCAGGCCACTTCAATGCTACATCTATGGTATGTCTCTGATTTATCACCTTCTCTCTAGTCACATCACTGTTACCTAGTTCAGACCCTTATCACCCCTTTCCTGGACTATTGCAATAGCTTCCTATTTGGACCCTGCCTCTAGGTCAGGGGTGGGAACATGCAGCCTCAAGGCCACATATGGCCCTATGTGGCCCTCTAGGTCCTCAAGTGCGGCCCTTCGACTGAAGCCAAACTTCACAGAGCAAACAGAAGTTTAGATTCAGTCAAAAGGCTGCACTTGAGGACCTAGAGGGACACATGTGACCTCAAAGCCGCAGATTCCCCACTCCTGCTCTAGGCTCTCCCGTCTCTAGTCCATTCTTCATACAGGCCAAATACATAGTTCTAAAGCACAATCTAACCATGTTACCATGTTACTCCCCTACTTCAGTGGTTCCCTATCACCTTCTAGTGATCTGCTTGGCACTGAAAGTCCTTCACAGTCTGTCTCCAGCCCATCTGTCTTCGCAGACTGATTTCACATTCCTCTCCATCCTGCGCCCTTTGCCATCATTGCTGTTACGTCTCCATGAACTCCATCTCCCACCTCCTTTACTTTGCACAGGCTGCCCTCCATGTCTAGAGTACCTCCCACCTACCCCTTCTTCCCTTTTGCCTCTTAGAATCCCAGGCTCGGGGGATGGAGCCAAGATGACAGCATGAAAGCAGTGACTTGCTTGAGCTCTCCCCCAAACCCCTCCAAATACCCATAAGAAAATGGCTCTAAACAAATTCTAAAGCAGCAGAACCCACAAAAAGAAAGAGTAAAACAAATTTCCAGCCCAAGACAGCCTGGATGGTTGATCAGAAAGGCATATCGTGCTGGGCGGGTAGAAGAGTGCAGTTCGGCATGGGCGCGCAAGCCGCAGCAAACCTGGAGCAGGCCTCAGAGGACCAAATCACAGGCAGCTGTGGTGCCTTCCAAACTCCTCAATCCACAAACCCCAAAGACAACTTAGAAGGTCAGTGGAAAAGATCTTTTTTTGCGGTGAGAGAAGAGCTAGGTCAGAGCAAGTTCCAGAGTGCAGAGCGTGGGTGCCGGGGCGGTGGCTGTGTCCTGAGCTTCTGGCCCACAGACTGAGGGGGAATCAAGTGGCTGATCAGAGGGGACTGCAGGGATCTCTTTGCTGGTGTTGTGACAGGCATCTCTTGCTTTGCCCATGCTTGGATCTGGGTCACAGTTCTGGGTGGTGGTCCTGGGGTGAGGAGGAGCACTGGCACGGTGGAGCTTGTAGTGGCGGTGGAGAGGAAACCCTCCTCACAGTTCCAAGAGAGAAAAGACTGCTTGTGGCTGATCACTCAAAGACCAGAGCTCAGGCTAGGAAAAGAGTAAACACCTCGACCCTTATCACACCACCTTGGAAGAACTGAAAATTTACAGGTCCCTAGAAGTATCTCTGAAAACAGCTATACAAACCCCTGAAACTTGGGACAGTACATTCTCCACATTGGAAGCAGACTTTTACCTTAACAAAGAGTTTAAAACTCAAGTAGTTGGCTGGGATCATGAGCAAACCTCACAAAAAGAGTCAGACTACATTATCTTACTTTGGTGACAAAGAAGATCAAAACACACAACCAGAAGAAGACAACAAAGTCAAAGCTCCCACATCCAAAGCCTCCAAGAAAAATATGAATCTGTCCCAGGCCTTGAAAGAGCTCAAAAGGGATTTTGAGAAGCAAGTAAGAGAAGTAGAGGAAAAACTGGGAAGAGAAATGAAAGTGATGCAAGAAAATCATGAAAAACAAGTCAACAGCTTGCTAAAGGAGACCCAAAAAAATACTGAAGAAAATAACACCTTAAAAAACAGCCTAACCCAAATGGCAAAAGAGATCCAAAAAGCCAATGAGAAGAATGCCCTAAAAAGCAAAATTGGCCAAATGGAAAAGGAATTCCAAAAGCTTATCGAAGAAAATACTTCCTTAAAAATTAGAATAGAGCAATTGGAAGATAGTGACTTTATGAGAAATCACGACACAGTAGAACAAATCCAAAGAATGAAAAATTAGAAAACAATGTGAAATATCTCATTGGAAAAACAAGTGACCTGGAAAATAGATCCAGGAGAGAGAATTTAAAAATTATTGGACTATCTGAAAGTCATGATCAAAAAAAGAGCCTAGACATCATCTTTCAAGAAATTATCAAAAGGACCCACATGTACAAAAATATTCATAGCAGCTCTTTTTGTGGTGGCAAAGAATTGGAAATTGAGAGGATGCCCATCAATTGGGGAATGACTGAGCAAGTTGTGGTATATGAATGTAATGGAATACTATTGTGCTATAAGAAATGATGAACAGGCTGACTTCAGAAAAACCTGGAAAGACTTATATGGTCTGATGCTGAGTGAAGTGAGCAGAACCAAGAGGACTTTGTACACAATAACAGCCATGTTATGCAATGACTCAGAATGTTAAACTGAACCCTTTTCAGCATTACAAGGATCTAAGACATCTCCAGAGGCCTCGGGATGGAAAATG